TGCGGTAGAAGTTCTCCCTAAAGATGATGTAAAGTCTACGGAAGTTATCTCTCTTAAGGCCGAAGAAACTTCAACCACAATTCAAACCAACATTAAATCAGCAAGCTCTACAATAGAAACTTTAGACAGCAAGACCAGCAAGCCATTAGATCCGTTTGCAAACTTGAAAGATGATAAGATCCCAACTTTATTAGGAGACAAACCCAAGTCCCCCGTTGAGACGGTTAGACCTATTCCAAAAGAGTATTCGGACGATGAAAGTGACGAAGAGGTTGGTATTCCCATGCCTCAAGACAAGCCAGTTACCCATCCCACTCCTTTGGCAACTCCTTCAATCAGTAGTGAAGATAAATCTCCTCTTCAGACTGGTGACAAACCAAAGGCTCCTGAGCAAAAAGACGTAAAGCTCCCATCCAAGATAGATGACAAGCCCAAGTCACCAATTGAGTCTGTAAAGCCTATTCCAAAAGAGTATTCTGACGATGAAAGTGACGAGGAGTTTGGAATTCCCAAACCTCAAGACAAGCCTGTTACTTCTGTGGTAACTCCTTCAATCAGTAGTGAAGATAAATTTCCTCTTCAGCCTGGTGACAAACCAAAGCCTCCTGAGAAAAAAGACGTAAGGGTCCCATCCAAGCTAGATGACAAGCCCAAATCACCAATTGAGTCTGTAAAGCCTATTCCAAGAGAGTATTCTGACGATGAAAGTGACGAGGAGTTTGGAATTCCCAAACCTCAAGACAAGCCTGTTACCCATCCCACTCCTTTGGTAACTCGTTCAATCAGTAGTGAAGATAAATCTCCTCTTCAGCCTGGTGACAAACCAAAGGCTCCAGAGCAAAAAGACGTAAAGGTCCCATCAAAGCTAGATGACAAGCCCAAGTCACCAATTGAGTCTGTAAAGCCTATTCCAAAAGAGTATTCTGACGATGAAAGTGACGAGGAGTTTGGAATTCCCAAACCTCAAGATAAGTCTGTTACCCATCCCACTCCTTTGGTTACTCGTTCAATCAGTAGTGAAGATAAATCTCCTCTTCAGACTGGTGACAAACTTAAATCAGCAGGCTCCAATGAGCAAACTTTAGACGTAAAGGTCCCATCAAAGCCATTAGATCCGTTTGCAAACTTGAAAGAGAATAAAAAAAGAAATTTTTTTAAAGACAAGCCCAAGTCACCAATTGAGTCTGTAAAGCCTATTCCAAAAGAGTATTCTGACGATGAAAGTGACGAGGAGTTTGGAATTCCCAAACCTCAAGACAAGCCTCTTACTTCTGTGGTAACTCCTTCAATCAGTAGTGAAGATAAATCTCCTCTTCAGCCTGGTGACAAATCAAAGGCTCCTGAGCAAAAAGACGTAAAGGTCCCATCTAAGCTAGAAGACAAGCCCAAGTCACCAATTGAGTCTGTAAAGCCTATTCCAAAAGAGTATTCTGACGATGAAAGTGACGAGGAGTTTGGAATTCCCAAACCTCAAGACAAGCCTGTTACCTATCCCACTCCTTTAGTAACTCCTTCAATCAGTAGTGAAGATAAATCTCCTCTTCAACCTAATGACAAACAAAAGGCTCCTGAGCAAAAAGACGTAAAGGTCCCATCTAAGCTAGAAGACAAGCCCAAGTCACCAATTGAGCCTATAAAGCCTATTCCAAAAGAGTATTCTGACGATGAAAGTGACGAAGAGTTTGGAATTCCCAAGCCTCAGGACAAGCCTGTTACCCATCCCACTCCTTTGGTAACTTCTTCAATCAGTAGTGAAGATAAATCTCCTATTCAACCTGATGACAAAACAAAGGTTCCTGTGCAAAAAGACGTAAAGGTCCCATCCAAGCTAGATGACAAGCCAAAGTCACCAATTGAGTCTGTAAAGCTTTTTCCAAAAGGATATTCTGACGATGAAAGTGACGAGGAGTTTGGAATTCCCAAACCTCAAGACAAGTCTGATGGTAAACCAACTCCTTCGGTAACCCCCTTCTCTAGTACTGCGGTAGAAGTTCTCCTTAAAGATGAAGAAAAGTCTAAGGAAGTTATCTCTTTTAAGGCCGAAGAAACTTCAACCACAATTCAAACCAACATTAAATCAGCAAGCTCTACAGTAAAAACTTTAGACAGCAAGACCAGCAAGCCATTAGATCCGTTTGCAAACTTAAAAGATGATAAGATCCCAACTTTATTAGAAGACAAACCCAAGTCCCCCGTTGAGACGGTTAGACCTATTCCAAAAGAGTATTCTGACGATGAAAGTGACAAGGAGTTTGGGATTCAGAAACCTCAAGACAAACGTGTTAGTGAACTAATACCATATGATAAATCCAAAATACATTCCTCCAACCCTTTCCCCCGAGATTTGTCAAACTCTAATGCCAAGAATCGTCAGATTCATGAAATTTGTGAAAGTAAATCTGATGTGATTACCTATAGTGAAGAAGATAGGTCTGTTCAACAGATTGTGGAGGATACTCTCAGAGCTGGTGATGCTGAGGTACAAAAAATTGTGGACGAAACACTTAAAAGTGTTCAACTCACGAGAAACTTTGGCAACATTAAGGATCAAGTCGTAGGTGAAGAAAGATCAGTTGAATCAATTGTTGAAGAAACACTTAAAAATGCTAAGTTAAGCTTTGATATTTCTAGCGAAGATAAGCTTGGTTCTACTAATGTAAGTAAAACGGATACAAAAGAGGTTCGTCCGGTTGCATACTTTGTAAAATTGGACGACGAACAAAAATTGGTAGCTCCGGCTAAAAAGCAGGTGGTTAAAGCTCAACAGAAAAAGTTAGCTAAGTCAGAGGGAGGAAAATTAGTAAAAGAGGACAGCGTTAAATTGACTACTAAGACTAGCATTAGCAAGAGAACAGTTGGGGCTAGAGAAAAACCTAAAAGCGATGTGAAAAGCACACCTGTTTTGCCAGCTAAAGTAAAGACGACCAGTATTAAGCAAACACCAATTAGGAAAACAACAGGTACGGACAAAACGAAACTACAAAACAAAACCGAGTCAAGACGTTCGGTCACAAGCTCTACTTCGACTACCACTAGTTCAGCTTCTGCTACGAGTCGCGTAATAAGCGAAATACATTTCGAGCGCTCTGCAAGTCCTGCGTCGAGTTCCATTTTCTACGAGAGCCATCCGCAGGGTGAAGGCAGCCGTTCCACTACCCCGCGACCTAGGGTTAAGACTGACGTCACGCGAATACCCTACAATACTTCAATCCGATCGCTCAGCCCCCAGTCAAAAGCCATGAAATCAGATAAGAAAACCGTAAAACAAAGAACAACTACTGCCACTCGATCTACCAAAGAGCTTACAGAGAAGAGTTCAAAGAAGACTGAGAGAATCGGCAGCCAGGAGCACGTTGAAAAAAGGAAAACCCCCACACCGTCTGCCACCCACAGATACATGCAGCCCACCCTGGCCCACAGCATGCGATACGGTTTAGGTGGCGATGGGGACATTGGCCAGAGTGTCTCGCCGGCACCGCCAAAGTCACCAGCACCACCCAAATCGCCGGCTCCGGCCCAAACCAAAACCACTCAGCGAACACATTCTATAACAAGTGCCTTGACCAAGTCCACAACCCACATAACGAAGCAACAGAATACGATTGCTGAGAAGAAAGCAACCCAATCCCGTACCCAGATTAAAAGAGGCTCACAGAGTGATAGCAAGGAGTCCCTGAAGAAAAGCACCGACCGCCTATACAAACGACAGACATCCAAGGAGAATAAGCTAACAAACGTGATAGGCTCCAAGAGCCAAGCAACCAAAAGCATGAAGACACAATCAGCTAATTCAGCCAAGACACTTGCCTACAGAACTTCCATAGAAACCGACAACAAGCTTCTGAAGAAGACCACAGCCACTATACAGCGCACCAAAGTTCCGATTAGCGTGTCTTCCAGTGCAAGGACTGCAGCAAAGCTAAGCAAGAGTGATGACACCGACAAGAGACCTCAGGTAGACAATAAGAAACCAGTTAAGCGAACAGAAGGCAGCGGCACTCAGAGCTCCATGGAGCCCAAGATGCAAAAGAAGATGAAGGACACGATGAACGAGTCGAGTTCGAATTCCGGTAGCGGCACCACCAGTGCCAGCGGTTCCTCGAACAGCACGCGGCGAAGTGTGCGATCCGTGAGCACGGTTAGTCGCAAAACGGACAAGGACTTGACCAACATTCGAAGGGCAGCGGGAGCTGTTGCGTCGACATCGACCGTACGGGTACATCGGGAGCCAATTGCAACTACCGGCGCTGTTAGCACCGTGCTCGTTGATGACGACTGTGAGGTGATAACCATACGTTCCATTAAATCCAGTGATAGTACAAAAAGTTCTACCTCATCATCCTCCGGTAGCGGCAGCAACAGTCGCAAGGTGCTAACCAGCGAGGTATTCACTAAGACCTTCGGCCCCGACAAGCCGCTCGAGGTGGTCTACCGCCAGCCCGAGTTTGATGTAGAACACCACACCATTATGTCCGTGCGTCCACCCTCCACCACTAGCAGCGATCAGCAGCGTTGCCTCAACGAGTTCGATGTCAGCTTCATCGACACCACCGACTCCAGTCTCTCGGACTCCGTTGCCCTGCCCATGTTCGGCTCCGGCGATCCGGAGCGTCTGCTCGCTGCCAGCCCCGGTTCGCCCAAGCCGACCCGCAGCCCCCTGGCCCTTATAGAGGAGACCCTGCGCCGTCAGCAACAGCACCACCACCATCATCAGCACCACCACCACAGTAGCGTGGTTACAACCGCCACTGCTGCCCTCGATCCTTCTCTGCCGATGCAAGTGGAGGTAGAGATGGAGAAGAGCAGCACTTCAAGAGGTAAATATGGTAATAGTACTGAAGATATTCGTTAGGTTTAGTGCACTTTGATACTTAAGACTAGCTTAGCTACGATACCCATCATATCCAGGGCTCAGTTACCAAATGCAACTTTTCTTATTGATATGTTTATATGTGAAATGCTTTTACTTAACCCCTTTTTAACTTGTTCTCCACAAATAGCAAACATAAATAACTAAAGCCGTCAAACTAAAGCCTTAATATACTACACAACTACAGACCCACCAAACTAAGAATGTCCAAGAAACTCCCAACTATATCCGTAACTGCCGACAAGCGATCCACCCACTCCGACTTATCCTCCTCATCGTCATCCCATGATACAGATAGCAATGATATGGACTACGGGCGCAATGGCGCCGGGGGCGTTACCGATGTCGAAGATTTTGACAGTCAGGTGGAGGTACTAAAACCGAGCTCCCGGCGAAACTCCAGTAATGCATCCCTGAAGCCAAAAGCCCAACCGAGAGCAAATGCGGGCGACAATGATGTGACCGATGTGGAGGATTACGATACAGAATCGGACGATGATGAGAAGAGCACGGCCTACCCAGAACTAAAACTGTCCCTACGGGAGTTTCTCCAACAGGGACTCCAAAACCAAGAAGCCGTCGATAATGATGCCAAGGAGAGCTGTGAGATAAAAGCCGGAGACTTCGTGCAAGCACAAAACCTGAATGGCATGGCAGACTATCTCACCGATTGCGAGGACTATGACACCGATTCCGAAGTGGGCTATGGCTGCGAGAAGTCCGTTTGCGTTGATCTGGATCATGCCATGGGCGATCAGGGACGAGTAAATATTGCCGATGGCGAGAAGAACCAGGACGACTCTGATCAGTACGAAGATGTGTCTGTGATCAGTGACATAAGCGATTTGGCCTCGGCCATGTCCGATTGCACTGGAATAGGGGTGCGTGGAATGTCCGAGGATGAGGTTTTGGAGGTATCCGATAGTGGACACGAAGAGGTTTGCCAAATCGCTTGTTCGGGGTCCGATTCAGAGTCCGAAGGGGCCGCAGCCTGGAGCAAGAGTGAAGGGGATAGCAGCTTTCCACATATCGATGTGGCCTTTATTAGTGCCAGTGGTCAACCGCGACGAAACTCCAAGTCCAGTTTGCCCATGCAGGGACAGAAGAACTTCCTACAACTGGCTTCGAAACATGAGGAGGTCTTAACAGATGTCGAGGGCATCGACGACTCTGCAGCAGAAGATAGCTTTGACAATGAGGAGGAGGACGAGCAGCCCATACCACGTGCCATTATTCTTGCTTCCGGCGATGATGGAACTTGTCTAACTGATGTCGAGGACATGTTCTGCGAGGACACGTCGCAGTCCACTAGCGCTGAACCCGAAGTTCGTTCAATTTGCTACGAATCTCTACCCCTGCCGCATCGTGAGGTAGTGGAACTAAGGGAGGACAAGTACGGAGACACTATCACCAATGTGATGCCCATGGACAGCCACTACGAGTTTGGCATTTACAACCATCTGAAGGACACGATTCACACCGATTCCGAGGACTATTCGTGCGCCGATGAGTGGAGCCTTCAGCATTCCCTGGCCGAGGATGCTGCGATGGGAGGGCCCAGTCTAATCGAAAACGAAGTGATTGTGTCCAACGAGCTCTTGAAGCAGCAGCAGAACAAGCGCCTTGAAGTTCAGTCCAACGCCGAGTCTGTGACCGATGTAGAGGAGATCTTTGTGGCCGGAACGAATCGCCGCAAGAAGTTAAAGACACGCACTCTGAGCAAAGGCAAGAATAAGCTACTCGAAGCGGTGAAGGGCAAGGAGGATGGGGTTACAGATGTCGAGGACATGGACCTCAGTGAATGCGGCCTACCGCCGGGAGTGAAGCGTGTAGAGCAGCTGAAACAACAGGTTAAGGTATCTGAAGCCGAGGACGTGTCCACCGATGATGTCTCCGATATCTCAGAAGCCTCCGATGCTCCGCCCCCATCGACGGGTGACAAGACCAGCGGCAAGGCAAAGCCCCAGCCGCTTCACTTTCATCTGCTCAAGGATGATCTAACCAATCAGCAGCACACCGATATCGAGGACGTTCAGTTGCCGTCGGACGCCGAGGACGCGCTGGAACCGCCGGCCGTGCCAGTTGCAAATAGCAATAGCAAGGAGCTAAACGACATGCTGAACGAGAGCTACACGGTGGTGCACGAGAAGAGCGGACGCAGTTTCAACAGCGAGGCCGAGAAGCTGCATACAAAAGGCATGATCCGTGATGCCAATACCGACGTTGAGTATGTTGAGTCCGACGAGTCAGCCGCCAGGGGAGGCAACTAGCCTGCTTGCCAAAATAAATCTCAACAATAGTTAATAAGTGTTCATAGATACGAATAAACCCAACACACACACTCAAGCATTTTGTAAGTAAAGCCAACAATTACCAAAACATTTTCGTTAAAGTTCTTGCCACAATCAAAGCAGCAAAAAGCCTTTAATCTACTCGCATCGCTCCCATAAGCCTAACCTCTGTGCCGTGCCATACTAACAGATTTCCTAACGTCGTCGTACTAACATTCACTCTATATTGTTGATAACAAAAATGTTATTTGGAATTCGTTTCATTTGTTCTTGGTTCAATTGTCTGTAAATCATTCATTATCATTTCGTTTGTAGAGTAATCTAATGTAGTCATAGGTCACTTTTCTGTTTGTCTCTCGCCTAACTTGAATTTATCTAACATTGGCCTTGTTTATTGCAGAAACTCTTCAGGAAAAAAAAGTAGACCTATCCAGTCTGGATGCCGTAAAGATCTCACAGGAAATTGGTAAGTTACTTAATGATATCTTAGCTTTTCGTATTTGTCGTTATGCATAGTGCTTCATTAGAATGCCAAATTAATCAGTAGATCGTATTGGTTTCCCAAATGCAATTAAAGCTCATTAACAAACGGCCTTTTGTTTGATACAAACTTTCGACTCAGTGCGTCCGATTTCGATCACATCACCAATCAATCTCACCGCCATCAGCTACTACACATAAACCTGCACAACCTTCTCGCTTCTCATGCTACACATGATTTCAAAGCTTGCCCTCACTTTCTCTTGCTCTCTCTCTGTTTCAAACTGTCCAATTTCTATCTACCAATGAACTGTGCAATTGTCTTCCAGGTGATGTTAAAGTTGGTGGTGGTGATGATGATGATGGTGATGGCGAGGCCGAAGATCTTGTGGCACGCATTCGCGAGGAAGCCAATATTCTGGTGGATCGCGTGCTAGAAGAAAGTGTCGAGATCATCGAGAGTCACGGCCATCAGGCCAATGGCCACGAGGTCGCTAAGCTGGATTACAACTCAGAAAGTGAGAATTATGCCATCACATGCGACGATATCGGCGGCGTCGATGTTATCAAATCGCCCACCATTGAGTCCATGTCGGGAAAGTCGTTTGACGACAACATGAGCTTCACCGACGAGCACATACATTTACCCTTGCATGCCCAGAACACGACCACCACCATGACAACGACAATTACCACTCAGTTCCAACAGCAGCAGTCCCAGGTGCAGCTGCCCCAGGCCATTTCCCAGGCAAAAGGTAAAATACCACATAGAGTCAAGCTTTGAGGTAGTCCCACGCTAGCCTAGAGGTTAGGATAGGCGGATTAGACTCCATAGTGCTGCTTAGTCCGTTGGCTATAACCACTCTCCTGTATCGTTTGCTTTTTGCTCCCATCCCCCCCTGCCATGTGTCATGTACCATCCAGATCCAGAACCAGAACTCGTACCCCTCCCAGTAGAGAGTAGTCGAGAAGAGAGTGAGACGCGGGCGAGGCGCATTGATCGGAAAATCGAGAAACTATCCACGGACATGGACGATGTGAGCGCCAAGTTCGATGAGGCATTCGAGATGTCGGTGCCCGAGGACGAGATCAGCGCCCTGCAGGGTGACTTTTCCAAACTCAGCTGGGATGACAGCGTGTCCCCCACGACCAATACCATGGCCGATATGGCCCAGAACCAAATAACTCCCGATAACGATATTCAAGAGCTCATCGCAGGTACCACAATCAAAAGCGAAGCGCCTAGAACTAAGCTATGATTTCATTTTCTTTTGCCGTTGACAGAGCCTAAAGACTCGCTCTAGATGTATATGCAGTATTCTCTTTGATTTATGTTGTCCTAGTGCTAAAATGGCGGCCAATAACAACTTTTTGTTTGTTCAAGTTGAGCTCTAATTGCATTGACATTTTCTAATTTACTCATTTACTCATATGAAATATGCATGTCATCCTATACTACCTACCTATCTATCTATCTCTATATACTTATGTTTCCTATGCTAACCATGGACTCGAATGCATTAACCCTATTTTCGCCTACTCTATTTCCTGTTTCTATCCTGTAATCGTGTTTACTCTTCCTCATCTTTTGTTCTCGACTTTCACAACACTTTTAAAATTGCTTTCGTTTTCACACCTATTGTTTTGTAGAAACAGGCGGCGATTTACCAAACTCAAGTGCAACCGAAACCGAAACCACTCCCGTACCACCGTCGGAATCGAAAGAATCGGAAAGCAAAACCGAAACTGAGCCGACGGTAGAAACCAATGCATTCACTACCACCAGCCACGATACACCCACACCAAAACCTCGAGTACTCAAAGCAAGCTCCCCAGTCTCCGAAGGCACCGATAGCACCACCATTCCCAGTGGCCCAGTGCCGAAACCCGATTTGCCGATTGACATTAGTTTCGATGCCGCCGCCCCGGTTCCGAAGCCACGTGCTCCCATCAAGCACACGGAACCATTCGAAAACCTGGCTGCCCTAGCTGAGCAGTCCGATAGCATTAGTCTGAGAAGCTTTGAGTTCACCGAGGATATTTCCAAGACGGACGAGCCCTCCACAGAGCTCTCCATTCGATCCCAGCTTCGTGACATAGTCACAACCACCACCACAGCCTCAGAAGATCACACCGAAAGCTTTGAGCCAACGAGTGAGATTTCCGTGGACGATGCCGACACGGAAAAATCAGAGGGCGCCGAAAAGACCACTAGCTTTTATATCGGGGAATCTAGCCGAAATGTTATAATTAAGACCTCGACCAGATCCGCAAGTGTTACACCGCAGGAGGAGGAAGCCCAGGGCGAGATAGGAATCGATGCCAAGGATGTTTCTTTGATGAAGGAGATATCCGTCGATTCTGACGAGGCCAACGATGTTTTCAAGGAGTTCGTCACAATGAAGCCCGACGATGGTGCTGCAGTGGACAGCAAGATAACCAGACAAGGCTCGGAAACTAGAAATGATATACTCGAATTCGAGAATGCCGAAAAGGAGAAGGCAGGAGAACCGAAGCTTTCCAAGGTAACCACCGAGGAGAGCTTGACTACGTCCACCGGATCCAGTGGTCGAGCAATTATTGAAATTGCTCCATCCAGCAGCGAAGATCCCGACGAGTCCAGCAAGGAGATTCCGGAAATAGTCAATACAATCTCCGAAAAGACGGCCTCCACCGATCGATTTGAATTGCCTTTGGAAAAAAGTGAGTGGGAAACTTCAGAGAAAGAAATTCCAAGTGCAGGCAAGCCAAAGGTCGTTCATTCGCCACAACAACCGCAAGAAACCGACATAAAGAGTTCGATGGATAAGTCGCTCATTGGTGATATTCTGACCGAAGAAAAGGAATCTGGGGAATTCCAGAAAAGCACCTTGGACATTAAAGAATCTATCGTGGAAACACCATCAGACTTTGGATTCAATGTCGAACCCCAAGGATTTACTGCTACTACTGAGACCGAGGATATATCATCTTTTATAGGCATTCCTGAGGCCAGCATGCTAACATCAACATTGGAGAGTACACAGCCTCCCGAAGGTCTTTTCGATACCACAATTAAGGAGACTCTCAATAAGCAAGCAGCGATGGCTCACTATTCCCATGATGTTTTCGGCCGAGGGGAAAGGCGTGATGATCATGGCTCGCTGGGTTTCATTTCCACTGGCACAGCTGAGGAGCTAAGCTCCATGGAAGATCACATGGCAAAGGAGGAGCAAGCCTCCCTGGGCTTCATCTCCACCGAAACCGCTGAAGACTTTAGTTCCATGGAAGATTACTACTCGGAAAAACTAGCCATTGCCAGTGTGGTTGCAGATGAAGCTGCCACAGACAAATCAATCACCACCAGCACCTTTGAGGAGCTCTCGTCGGATCAATCCATGAAGCCAATCGATGTGGTGGTTCATCGGCTTAAGACCGAGTCCTCGCCAGACTCCATCAACCGTTGGTCTATTCCCGATGTGGACACCTCAAGCTCCAGCGAGAGCTTCCACAAGAGCTTCGACAAGACCCAGAGTCGACCTCTCTCCTCAGATTTAGAAAACCTAATGACTGCCACAGGAACTGGTACCTCGAGTGAGTACCAAACGGCCCGGGAATTCACCTCCACTGGTCGCACGGAAGGAACCGAATACATTAGTGCGGTCAGCACCCTTGGCAGTAGTAGCTTGGACTCCCATTCAGAGACCTCGGCCAATTTGGCCAGCATTGATGTCTCCGAACTGTCGGAAACCTTGGTCGCCTCCTCTGCCGAAGCAGATGCCTTCGAGGCGGATGAGATGTCGCGGCTGCGTGATCTCCGGGCCGATGACGAGGACAGTGATGAGAGTGTAGAACTGCCGGGAACTGCCTATCCAACCAGCGAACAGCAGAGCCTCATGAAGAGATCGCAGGAAATGATTTTCAAGCCCAAGGCTGAGGAGGAAGAGCCACTGCCCGTTGAGGTTGTGCAAATCGAGGAGTATCCAAAGCCCAAGGAGGCGGAACGTACTTGGGGCTTAGCTTATCCTTTGGAGGACAGCAAGGCAGACAGTCCGCGGGAGAGCGAAAAGGGTGAGGACATCCTGTTGTATCACGGAGACCCACGTCGCTCCATCGACGAGTCCAAGCTGGCCTCGAGCCTCGACGAAGGCAGCATTCTTTCGGTTAGCATGTCGAGCACATCCAACATCGATACTGTCGTAGAGAACTTCGATGACATTATTGGATCCGCCGGATCCTCTTCGCTGACCGGCATCGAAGGTTTCCAGTATGGCCACGATGATGCGATTCCCTCAGCCTCAGTGCCCGAAGATGCCACATTCATGCTGGAAATGGAGAGCAAGGAGCATTCGCCGCAGGATTCCAATGCCAGCACACCACCAGGGGGAGAATCGAAGCGTCGGGGTCACAAGCGAAATGAGAGCATTTCGGGAGATGCTCTGAAGAACCTGGACAAGGAGGTGGCTCTCCTGGGCGAGGGCAAGGAATCGGAAAGCGAGTCCGACACAGATCCTTACGAATCGGAATATGCCCGCCAGTTCCGCTCCCCTAAGGAAAGGAAGAGCAAAAAGAAGAAGCAGGCGGCAGCCGAAATGGATCACAGTGGCGAGCTGGAGAAGCGTCCCTTTACCCCCTCCCAGCTGGTGGCCGAGGTCATCGTGGAGGACAGTGCCACCGAGGAGCTCGAGGCAGAGGCCGCGATGATCGAGGAGCGTCGCCCCTCGCAGAACATGCAGGACTACTCAAACATTCCCGACATCATGGTCACCGAGGACATCAAGTCGCCCATTCTCGAAGAGGAAAGTGACGAGTTCCCCGAAAAGATGCTCTACAAGGTGCGCACCGAGGAGGAGTTGCACAAGGCGGCCGATACCTCGGTGTACCAGAAGGCCAAGGCCGAGGAGAAAGAGCAGGACTTTCAGCGGCGAGTGCAGGAGCAGTACCGCCAGAAGCTCGAGGAGCTGAAGCGGGCCGAAGTCGGAGCCGAGTACGATGATCGCAAGGCTCCCGACTCGCCGGACTCCTTCGAAATGGTCGAACAACCCGATATCTCGGATGAGTTTGTGATCATCGAGGAGGTGGCCAAGGAGGCCAACGAAGTGGATCTCGGCGGTCAGAGCATAAAGATCAAGCCCACAAAGTACGAGCAGAAGCACGACGAAGATGTGGAGAAGATCATCATCAAGTCGGCGCCAGCAGATCCCAAGCTGGGCTCCCAGCTCTACAAGGACGATCTGAACTTCGAGTTCGAGGAGAGTCCCCCAACTGCAGCTAGCAGTAGTAGCGAGCAGCAGGAGGAGAGTGATTCCAGTGAAACGGCGGCGGCCAACAAGCGCTGGGTTGAGATGCAGCTGACGGACAACCAGCTAAGGTATCCCTACGATCTAGCAGGAGCCGTGCTGGAGGACATCAAGGAGGAGGACGGCGAGTTCGAGGTGGGCAGCAGTCGCATCAGCAGCTTCAAGGACTCCTTCTCCAGCACCCCTGAGTACGATGTGGCCGCCCGTCGCTATCATTCCCGCGGCGAACACGACGACGTCTCGATGAGCAGTCTGCAGGAGTTCGAGTCTCTGGAGCAGGCCATCTCCCTGGAGAACCGCAATCGCACTCACCAAGGCTCCACGGACTCGAGCAACGGCAGCTTCACCCGCCGCTATGTGGTCCGTCACAGTGCCAGTGGAACTGCCCCCGGTGACGATGTATCCGTCTCCAGTCTGAAGGACTTCGAGGGCCTCGAGAATGCCTGCATCGAAGCCCACCTCATAGAGATCAAGGCCCGGGAGGAGGCGGCTCTCCTCTCGCGCTCCGACGAATCCAACAAATCGAATGGCAGTGAGAAGGGAGTGGTGACCAAGGTCACGCGCACCGTGACCCGAACCGAAGTGGTGCCCTCCAGTCAGGCGGAGAACATCGAGGCCCTGCTCAAGCACAAGTTGGAGCGGGAGGAGGTGAAGATCGCCGAGGCTACCGCCACCGAGCTGGAGCCCAAGTCGAAGATCGACAGCCAGGACTCGGAGAAGGACAGCATCGATAGCATGGAGATCAGCAAGAGCCACGACATGATGACCAGCAGCATTGAGAGCTTCGACATCTCCAAGGACGCCACCACGAGATCGGACATTGACTCGCTGGAGATCGACAAGCGGCACTCGCGGCAGGAGAGCATCGAGTCCTTCGGCGACGAGCAGCTGGACCTGATGAGCAAGTTCGTCAGCGGCGGTGGCGGAGTGACCCTGGGCGATGGTCTGACCACCACCACGACCACGACCACCACCAGCACGGATGCGGATGGGCATGAGCACACGGTGACCAGGGTGATCACCACAACGACGACTGTGGGTGGTGCCATTCAGGAACTGCCCTTGGATGAGTCCGGAATGTCGAAGGACGTATCGGTGGACTCGCTGAATCTCTGCATGGAGCAGACCACCAGTTCGGCCGGGACAACGGCCACCTACCAGACCAGTGCCGGAAACTCCCAGATGTCCGGGAGCGTTACGAGCTGTGCCTCCAGCACTCTGATGGAGGATTCGTTCCCTGGTGTGAGTGGCATGTCGTCGTCGCAAATGTCGGCCAGTTTCTGGTCCCACGATGAGTCCACGATGGTCGAGGACGAAGGACACGATCCCGCGAAGAAGCAGTAAGCACTGGATGGAATTAAGGGATAGAAAGAAAGACAGGGAGAGTGACAAAGAGAGAGAAAGAGAGATGTGGGAGGAGTCACGCGTAATCCCATATGAAAATGGGGCTTGAACGGTGACTTAGAATATTCGGCTAGGTAAGCATCACACGGCAAAACTGCGCGGCTTTTCGTTTTACTTTTGTTTTGTGTCTTTACTTGGTCTTCGACTTAGAAGCAGAGCTCAACTTGACAGAGAAAAGTAATACTCGCCGCCTTAATTAAACTTAATAGCTACTAAATGAGACTTTTCTCTTTTTTGGATTTTTCAGACAAGGCGCAGCACTAATGGATTTACCGGCTCTGAACATCACCGATTTCAAATCGAACAGCGAGAGGGATTTATTAACTAGCAAATTTGACATTTTCCATCTACACACACATTTTTAATGATATTGAAAAGCATACACGAGTTTTTAAAGGCAAATATATATATTTTATATATTTATAAAAACTATAAAATCGCGGACATGAATACGAATATGAATATGGCAAGCATTAGCCGTTCAACGCATTTTCTTATTGGCTTTAATGTTAAAAAATTCGATTAAATTAAAGGAGAAACCTAAACCTCTTTGTGCTAGAGCGTTGTAATGGAATAAACCCTTGCTTTTAATTTGGTGTAGTTATTATATATGTACATGTACGAAGGATACTTATTATTAAATGAATCGCTTATTATTGTAGTTTAATTTAAGCAATTATACAAACGCATGTGGAAAAGGGGACGTAATGAAATAGCCGAAGCCTGGCAAGTGAAATGCTTTTAAAGTCTCATTTTTTACAAGAACCAAGCAAATTTTTTCGCTTGCATATTTTAACAATGAAATATACATAAATATACAATCTGAAAAAAAATGCATAGATCAAATTTAAAACATATACAAGATATGAAAGTAACTCACTTAGAAATACCACAAACAGCCATGAAGTGTATCGCTAATTTTCGTAAAGCACATCTTGCGAGAACCTACTTATTGAAAGGATTTAAACGTTTTAGCATCACCACTGTAATGGAATATGAATAAAACTAATATTTATGTTAAAAACATACAAGAAATATAAAAAAAAAATAACATTATTGTATTGTAAACCCACACGCGTATGAATAACCAAATAAAATGCTTAATAAAAATTGCTGTTTTGGATTTTAACATGTGTGGGGCAGGGAAGAAAAAATTGATTTTTCTGGATTTTATTTTGTATGCTGTATATATAGGGTGTTCTCCTACGTTTTGGTGATTATAAAACCGAATATATATTTGCGTACAAGCAATGTATATTTGAAAATCTTAGTTTTTTTTATTTCCTTAGAGGAGTTTTAAAATCAACGGTCAGTTTAATAGACCCAAGTGGCAACGTTGACAGGTGGCAGCCCTACTCATATTTGCGAAAATACGGTCTCATGGTTGTGTCTCGGCTAGCTTAGCGGTGACACGATCCCAGTGATACCGTTTATTTCAAGCATTTCTGGTATATTGTAAAACGGCCAGCTGGTATTTTTCTGCCACCCGCACACTGTCCAGCTGGGGGATTTCGAACATCACCGTGAAAAAAAGAAAGAATTGGGGAAAATGTGGTTTTTGGTCAAGTGATAGCCGCAACGCAGGTGAGCTGGGCCGAGGAAAAACGGATACGGACAAGCGCCCACTGGCCGGAAAACTCCTTGGCTGGCCCCAAAGGCCCACCTGGCCCCGCACACCCGAAAACTTGTCGACGTTCTCGGCTGTTGTTGTTTTTGCTGCTACGCTGCTGATGGCTGCATTTTCGTATTGGCATCGCATTTTTCTTGGCTACTCTTCGCTGCTCAAATGAGCATACGAAACCGATAAAGGCCTGAAAAGCAGCTAAAATATCAGATATACGCAGTTCCGAGGGACTTTTGCAATTATACAACCCAGCGCCGTGGAAAAGACGAACATCTGAAACATCCGAAACTGGTTATACACACATCGCCAGGAACGGGAGGTTGGGAGGGTGAGTAAAATCGATTTGTTGCACAAAACACACGACGAGTGGGCGAAAATCGGGGGCCGAAAAGTGGGGTGCGGCCACACAGATATATAGCTATATAGCTATAGATTCTAGGTCGACCTGGGATTATAGTACAATCTCTTGCAGCCTGCAGTCGTCTCCATGGACAAGATCAAGTTAAAGGTTATTGGCGTGCTGCGCGAACGCGATGGTGGCAATCGCAGTGGTTCCGGTGGACAAGCGGCTGGAGGATCTGGAGTGGGCGTGGCCCAGCCCCCGGTGGCGCAGGATGGTCAGGAGGAGGCCAACGCCCCCGGCGGAGGAGGAGCAATAACCACCGCAGTGGAACCGCAGGCGGCAGCAGCAGCAGGAACTTCGGCTGGAGCCGCTAGAACCTCGGTGCTCTCCCGTCCGCAGGCCTCCAAGATCAGCGCCCTCGACCTGGCCGGCATACTCAACACGCGGCGGCGACTCGAGTGGACCAAGGAGTGGCTGCGCAAGAACCAGGCCGAGTTCCTCAGCAAGGAGAACCTGCTCAGCGAGCTGCAGTCGCGCAAGGACGAGTGCTACCACTTGAATTACTTCCTAGCCATCACAGAGAGCCAGTTCCGGTATCTGGTGCAGAAGCTGGAGCCCATCATCAGCCAGTATGCGCCGCAGCGCAAGAAGAAGTCCTTCAGCGCCGAGGAGCGGCTGGCCATAACGCTCAAGTATTTGGCAACGGGTGGGTATTGAATGACCTAACTAATAGCAATCAATTAAACTTATAACTCCCTAACCCCAGGTGAAGTACATTCTTGTCGAAACTACTGCTTCCGTGCCTCGAAATTTGTGATAAACGAAATGATTGCCAATATCTGTCTGGGCTTCTACGAGCACCTCAAGGACCAATACGTGACACTACCAAAGACTGACGATCAGTGGCGCAGCGCCGCCGAGGAGATGGAGCGCAAGCACAACCTGCCCCACTGCGTGGGCAACCTGTTCATGCGCAGCATCCAGCTCCAGGGCTCCGGATCCGGAGCCGCTTCGAATTCCGCGGCCGCGAGCAGCGGTTCCGCCGCCGCCGGCGACGATCGCAAGCGGGCGACCGTCATCTTCACGGGCATCGTCGATGCCGACAACAATTTCCAGTACGCCAAGGTGGAGCGGGCGGCGAGCAGCCGTCCGAATGACATCTACAACCAGACCACTGCCGTCGAGCTGATCAGGCACAAGATGCACGCCCTCGAGGAGCAGCAGTCGTCCGCGGAGATGGACCGACAGGGCTATTACTTCGCCGGCGACTCCGTGCTGCCGGCCACCTCGTATCTGGTGACCACGCGCAACCTGCCCAAGGATCGCGCCGTGCTGGAGGCCCTCGAGCAGGTGAACGCCCATGCGGACCAGACGATGCGGATACTCTGCAACATGTTCCCCATTCTGGCGCAGCCGCTGCGCATCAGCGACAAGCACATCCGCGAAGTGGTGCTCGGCTGCGTGGCGCTCTACAATTTCCTGCGCAAGACGGACGACTCCTTCCGGCGCACCAGCGACAGCATTGTGCAGCAGCGGGCCGAGCAGCAGCAGCTGGCGGCCGCCTACAGCGTCGACAGCGACGAGATCGACGACGACTGCATCATGCTGGCCACCGAGGAGGAGCTGCGCGAGCGGGCCGAGTTCACGCCCAGCGTCGGACTGACCACCTGCTTCCAGCCGCTGTGCACGCAGCGCGGCGAGACGCCCGAGGGCCTGGCCAAGCGGGACTGGCTGCTCCAGCTGGACTTTGGCCAGCAGGGCGGAAACGGAAGCGTAGGAATGGGCATGGGAATCGCCAGTGGCAACTTGAGCGGCAACGGGGGACTGGGCGGCAGTACAGACAGTGCGAGCGGCAGCTCAAACGGGAGTTTATATTAGTGCAATTTACCTAAGTACTTTACGAATTTTGTATAGTTCCTTGTTTTATATTTTCTAAATCTGTAATCGGTAATCTGTAATCTGTAACAGCATCTGTTGCCAAGTTGCCACGTTGCCGACTCTTGTTTACCTCTCGTTTGGCGCACCATTCTCTGCATACCATTACGATTACGTTCTGCGTTCCGTGCTTCATCTAGGGTTCTGTATAGTTAGCTTAGTTTCTTGCGGAAGTTCCGGTTCGAATGAATGATGCTATGTGATGTCTCAAATCTCTATTGTGGCCCAGTGAACTGCTCCCGGGGAGCAGCAGGCCCCCTCAATTGGGCCGGGCAAAAGGCGGCAGCTGACAAAATGCGCGAAGTCGACGAAGTACATCGGAAACAGATCAACAAAATTACAATTTTAGTATTCGTATTTAAGCAAAAAACAAATTATATATAATTATATTTACAAATAAATGTGTAAGGAGTGGTCTTTACGTGTCGAAACTTAAGATGTGTATTCAGAATGTTATATTTGCTCAGACCAATGGGGCCATTGTTGTATTAGATTGTAGAGTGCCTCTCCTGGACTTCTGGTGGCACTGACTTGGCGATGTCCCAATAGCTTGTAGTTCTCCACCAGCTGACCCTCTTTTACTGCGTGTTCCAGGAGCTTCTGGGCGGCCTCCAAGGCCTCCTGACTGGGCGCCTGCTCCTCGAAGTTACCGATGAAGGCAATGCCCAGTGATCCATCGTTGTTGGGAGCAGCGAATGCTCCCTTCTGGTTCGCACTCCTGCCCTCGTACGCCTTGCCATTGCCGCCGATCAGATAGTGATAGGCTATGTCGGAGAACTTCTGCCTGGACATCTGGTAGTTTTGCAGATTTCGCACCTGCTGGGAGCACGCGACATCGTCGGAGCAACTGCCTCCGGCTGTGTGGGCGATCACAGCCCGGGGAAGGGGCGTCTCCATGCTGTCCATGGGGCCACTCGGAGGTCGGGCGTTCCACTCGGCCCTCGTCGCAATCGGGACTTCCCCCCGGACAGCGATTGCTGCTAGGCAAACGATGAGCACGGCGATCCAAGTCATTCCACCTTCGCGACTGTCGGCTGACTGAGCTGAAATCTCGGATTCGTGCGGCACTTATTACCGCTGATAAGGCGTGTGCCCCCTAGACCTCAAATATGTGGGTATGTAGGAAATACTTGAGGGGGTTTTTCTTGCTATTCCATTATATACTTGGATACTAAGACTTGAAGAACATTACTAATATATAAGAAAACTAATTTATCAGATAAGTATCAAATGGAGTATGGGTGAGGTGGTAAAAAAAAAACATAAAAACGTTTCAAATAAATATTGGAATTATAATTATGTAGATAGAGTAAGATTTCTATTTGCTAATTTCATTTCGTTTTAGTTTGGCTATATAGTGTAAAAATTAAACTTTATTTTTCAGGTTCATAAGTAGGTAAATACTTAGAAACACAAAATTAAGCGACTTGGAATATTTAACAAAAGTAATAATAAAAAATTTCCAAGCTTTGTAATAAAATTTAATTTAATAAATGTAAGTTTTTTGCGAATATTTTCAAAAATAATTAAATAAAATTTCATAAAATTCGTAAAAATTCCAACTTAAGTTTTTTGCGATTTTTAGCAAAAAAAAAGTTAATAAAATATATACCGCAAAAATATATAATTTTTTTTTAATGATCCGAAGTTAATGTGGACTGTTAGCATAGGTTATTGACTGAGCAGAACTGTCATTCGAATTGCGATAGAAAAATCACCCTGATCTGAAGGGGATTCACCGAATTTCCGGATACTCCCAATATCATAAAACCCCCCAATACATTATGCCGGTTCATACGAGCCCCGAAAAACCTCAACTTGACACAGATGTTCTAGGCAGTGATTTAATTAAAAAAGTTTTGCAATTAAATGCAAAAACTGCAAAAAACAATGCGGAGTGCAGGCCATTATGCCCCCTTAAAAGGGGCTGAGGGCCTGATGAGGAAGTGAAGTCGCAAAGTGACAACAAAAATGCAAGTAAGCGCCCTCAATTAAAAGCCAAAATGAATATAAAGTGCGATGGAAAAAAGGAGGCGAGCAAAGCCGCAACAGCCAAAAAGCCAGAAAGCCAAAAAGCCGGGCCGAAACCGAAGCTCAAACCAAAAACCGAAGCCAAAACTATGCGCGGCTGGAAAAGCCAGCTGGTAGCGGGAAAAACTCTTGTCCGTGGCTGTTAACTTGAATTTAAGTGAGTTCTGAGGACCCCGAAGAGCCCCTCTATAGACCCCCCCTTTCGATAGAACTTATTGTATGGTTATTCGAATTGTTTTCTCGTTCCGCAGCGAGAAAAACATATTTTTTCCGCCCCAACTATAGCCTCAATTTAATCTGTCCCGCATTTGGCTGCAATTTTCGACGCCGGCGCCATGCTGGCTCATTTGCAAAATTGTCAGATTTATTTCGCTAATTGCTGCTCATCCGTTTAATTAAAATTAAAAGAACTTGCACAAGTTTAGGGCGAAAGTTTTTATGCGAATTCTCCAGAATCTCGCATTGGGCACGTTTAGTTTTCCGCATTCCTCCATTTTCCATTTTCTATTTTCCCCTGTGTTGCTAGCACCGTCTATTAAATTGCTGGGAAAACTTGGCTGAAAACGCGATGATGACGTTGCAAGATGGAGAGTAGGCTTTCCACTTTTCCTGGACGGCCAACAAATTAAACTGCAGGCTCCGTTAAAGGCTGTCGCAAATTCCCAAAAGGTGTCAATCGTGCAAACCCGGAAAGTTGTGGCTAACAACAGCAACAATTTGCACGCAATTCGGCAACATCTGCTGCCTGCCACGCCCCCATTTCCCAGCCCGCCCCCCGAGGCTTTTCCACGAAACAGGAAGGAGCAAAAGTTGCCTGCAACTGCAACGGCAACCACAGTGCGGATTTGGATTTCGGGCAACTTTGCAGTGCGGATTGACACCTCCTTCTGTATTCTGAACTCTGTATTCTGTATTTTACCAACCCCCGCCCCCAATCCAAATCGGGGGGCGTGTCAATGGGGGCGACATTTTTATGACAACTTGCTTAAATTCCATAACAAGAACTCGAGCAGAAAAGGGAAAACTTATTTCGTGTACGAGTCGCGCAACTTGTGTCCCGATATTTTCGAAGGCACCTCCGTCTTATTCGCTAATGAATAAAGTTCTCGGCTATGAATATGCACGGCGGGAATTTAGAATCTCCACCTTAAAGTTCTTAAAGGTTTAACTTTGACCAAATTTTAAATGTCTAAATTCGGGGTAACTAGCTTTTTTTAATAGAACATTATTTTATTGAGCATTTAAACACATATTGGTTTCAAAAATTGAACACCAAACTATTATGAATTTCTGTTTAATGTTCGATAGCTATTTTATGTGACCTATTTAAATAGAAAACATATCAAACTGTAGTCGTAATTTATGACTCATAATAAATAAGCTTATAATATGCCAAACAAAACAAATGTTTATTTTGTGTTTTACACATTTTCCAATTTGCTAAATATTTAAAAATGATACACAGCGATTTTTAAGTCGAAATAAAAATAATCTGGTTTTGATTTAGTGTTTATTTATTTCATCGTTTGATTTGCTTTTGGAACTTTTTCATTTCAAATTTATGCAATGTTTTCAGTTTTATTCGCTAATAAATTTTAAAAATTACTCAAAAATTATATATAGCACTATGATATTTAACATTATTCCACCAATTTATATTCTTTAACATTATAAATCAGAAATAGCGGTCCTTTGTGCATACTTTGGCTTTTCTGACGTTGCACTTTTGCCCTCCGCACTATTTTTAATATGCAATGGGAAGTATGCGCAACAATATAATGCCGTATTAAGGCCAAACGATGTGCGTAACGGCAACCTCATCGTCATCGTCATCGCTCCTTGGTCCTTGCTAGCTTTGTAGTCCAAAAAAGGGACTCCTTCGCCGGCTGACATCTTGTCAGAAATTTTCATGCTGCCGTAAGCTGTTTTCATGCACATTTCGGGCACTTGTGCTCGGCGCAAACACTTCAATTTTCGGCTTGAAGCATGCGTGTAGCCTGGATGGCCAGGGACAGAGTCTGGTAAGCAGTATCCAGGATACAAGATCCTTCGCAGCAGTCGATCCAGAGAGGCAGACAAAAATCAACCAGACGACGCAGGGCAGCCAGTCAAAGTGCCGGAAGGAAGTGCACTGGGGAACCCACAACTACGACGACGATATAGGGGCAGCCAAACAACGGCCAACTCTTTAACTATAACTTTTGATATATGCTAAGGAAATATTGTGGGAGTGCACTCAATCGTGGTTGCCCTGGCATTTCAGAGGGGCAGGGGGTTGGTTTGGGTGAATGCCATCAACTACTTAGCGTCAAAACGCTTAAAGTTGAATTTGTAACGCTCGAAGTGAGGCGACGGCACAAAGCCAATGGAGTGTGTGTGACGGGGTAGGTCCTGTCTAATGCCAGTTTACTCATCTATTTTTATTAAATCGTCTCGGATGCACACACACTTTCGGTTGCATCGCCAGCACAACGTTACGTATACGCAGCGTGGGCCAGCACAATGGAGAAGTCTAGAGAGCAATAAGGCATCATCAAAAATATTATTTATGAGCAGTTTTAATTTAAATGAATTATTTCAAAGATGTATCAATTGTATTCAATGCTATAAACATTTCTATCTTGTCTAGAAGGAAATAAATTCATTCAAAGATAAATTAAATGGGAATATATAAATTATTTATTTTAAGTTTTCGTTAAATTTAACCAAAGAAATATTCCTGTTTCCCAGAAAATTTCCTATTTAAATCAAATAAAGTAAGTCAAACATTAAGCAAGTGTTTATCTTCAAAGAAAATGCCTTTAAGTCAGTAAAATCAATATTTTTTCAATGCAAACCGGGAAGTAAACAAGATAAGCTGAAAATGTTGCAATTACAGGTGAAGCGTTCTGCAAGAACTCCCATTGATAAGCGTAGAGAAGAGAACTTTGTGTAATTTCTTTAAGAACTACTTGAGAGAATATGGCAGGACCCTTGAAAGTACAGTGGGTAAGTGTGTGGCGATGGCAACGAGAAGGGCGAATGACTTTGGAGGCTTGATTGCTGCAGTGGCAGCTGCCTTGCACCCTCACCATCTCACCCTCCACCAGCTCACTTCACATTGCAGCTTATTTTCGGGGTTTAATTTTGATTTAAACGCTGGCTGACAGCTTGAAGCCCGCTGCGTGCTGAACCGGAAGCACAGACATGCTCGTTCACTCGGACATGGCAGTTTTCGGTTCGACTCTGCAGCCAGTTGCCCGACTTCTCGGCTTTATTGAAATTTAAGTTGCACTTTTTCGGGGAGGCAGTGGGTGGAGTGGGTGGCAGCAGGCGGAACTGGGCTAATGAAAGGACACTTTAAGGCAGCTGCGCCTCTTACCAATCGATGCTCCTTGTCAACCATTTAATTTTCATTAGATTAAGGTAAGCATCTGAGTGGGCGGACTCTCAAAGATTGCGAGGGAGTAAAATGTACTGGAAAAAAATGTAAATTGTTTACATTAAAAGAAAAATTTAAGAAAGTTGAAGATTATTTATTTTAGATTTTATATTTAGAAAGAATTAAATATATTTAAATTATTTTATATTTGTAAGGACATTTTGTCCTTGTTTTGTGCATCATTATTATATTTTTTTAAGGTCTAATTAAATACGAATGATTTATTTGTCAGTGTCCTTAAAGCTATAGGGACAGGGTCTTTCCAGACATCAACCGCCTGGCAGTAGTTGCTGTTGCTATTGCTGTTTGCTCTCGTTCTCGTAAATGTAAAAGTTGCAACTTGTAGCCTCAAAATAACCACAAAGTAAACACCAGAGTGGCGCAGTCCGTGGTCCTCAGTCAGGAGTCCTTCGTCCAAAGTCCGGAGTTCCTGAGTGGCTGTTTGGGAGTTCGGGAGGGGTACGTCTATTTGAATAGCCGGCGAAGACATTGCGTTCTCTCGCACACTATTGCAGCCACGGACAAGGACATTGTACGTGAGAACAGGACACGGCGATGCCGATGTCGATGTCGATGCGTCGATGTCCTTCGAGCGAGCTCAACCGAACTGAACCGAGCTGGCCAAAATAAATAAGTGTGTAATTTAATATTTAAGACTTTGTCAGTAATTATTTCGGCGCAGATGGCGCAACTTTTCCTTTGTCGTTGCCAGGGAAATTGCAGGACAAAAAGGAGTGGGTGTTCGGGGGTCCTTGGGATGGGAATGGGTAGTGGATACCCTTGATCGGATGCACTGCTGCTCCTGCTGCTGCTGCACCACTCATAACTCAGAGATCGCAGCCCTCTCGTTAAATTAACCCACTTGCTTCGCATTTGTCTTTATTAAATGCGCAAAATAACGAGTTCACGAGCGTATAAATTATAAGCCAATTTAATAACCAGCCAGGCACAAAATGTGCTCGAAATGAACTACCAATTTGTGGAGAACAACGGAACGAAACATAATAATGGCTCCGGGTGAGCGTGAACATGAATTACGGGCACCGAGTACCGAATACCGAGTGCGGGTTCAATGCATAAAGGGGGAGGACTTGGCATTAGATTGGGGTTCCCAGGGGGAACACCTGTGCGAGCCATCGAGTTTTCCACACTCACTTACTCGCCGATATGAATGAATTCCCTTAACTTTTCCCTCTGAATATGCGCATAGTTTAAGCTTGTAATTATTCCAACATTTAGTTTAACATTTAGCCACGCCCACGAAGCTCCTCTTACCACCCCTCCCTTTGATTGCCATGGAAATGGTGTGCATTTTCCACCGAACCGCCGCCCCTGGAAAAACTCGAGTTCGCTGCATGCGCGTGTTAAAGTGAATTTGAAATGATTTATTGCACATCTAACCAGACCACTGATACTACAAATTCTACAATTACAGGGCAAACACCCATCTTTTCGCCCCATTTCCCTGACCTTACCTCTCCCCCATTTTTTTCTCAAACGCTTTTCCGGCTTTTTTCCTTGGCTCATTAGCATGTTAATTGTAAAGCGTGTCCTAATTGCATTTTAGCTGCAAAAATGAGTCCAGGATTTTTGTTTCGGGCTCTAAACATTAAGTTAGGTGCTCCAGAAACATTATTCTTTCAAGAATTACCCAAATTAGCTTGTTATCAATATATTGCTTTGGTTTTTAAGTAGCTCTAGGTCAGGGTTTGAATAAAAGATAAAGGGTATTTTCTTTGGGTTCTGTAAAAAGGATATATAAAATATTTTATTTTTCTTTAAGTCTCATAATTTTTGTAGGGTTTTATTTTATTTTTAAGAAATTCTACTCTACTCAATTTTTGTATAATTTCAGGGGCAAGGATATTCCACTCAAATAAGGAGTACATTTATTTCCAACTTATACGGACTGGACTTCATTTCAATGGAACCCAATTGAATCCTGCGGGTTCGAATCCTGTTTGAAGGCCTCCCCTTCAACTCGCAACTCCAACTTAATACGAGTTCTATTCAAACAAGTCCTTGTTGGCCATCGATGGCCATCCAACTTTGCAGAAATGAGTGGTACTTGAGCAAAAATGGAAAATGAGGGGTGTTTGAGTGAATTGCCGAGTGAACTACAAGCGATTCGCGAAAATTATTAATTATGTTGCATAATTTGATAAATTAATAAGGCCATTAAAACAAAAGGCGGCCACGCGGGGTGACCGAAAGGGTAAATTAAACAAATTAAACAAATTGCCAACTGCAATCGAAAATCACATTCATCAGCCAGCGGAACATCGATGGCAAGGTGGCATATTTATGGACCCGATAGACCGGATGGGTGGTGGTGGATAGTGTGGGCGGACTCTGGGGGATGGTATAAAAAAAGGTCGCCACCAAGCATAAAAATAAATTGATATCACAGCGAATTTGAATGAGCAATATGGTGTTTCTGCTATTTTTCCTGCCCTGCCACTCGTTCATATATCAGCGCTGTTTTTTTGCCATGAATTATTTTGCCGGCTGCATGTGAAATTTTGGCCAAACAATTGCAAAGCAGCAGGTGCACTTGAAGAAATTTCAATTACCTTAAATACTCATTTGGAAAATATCATAAATATTTATTTCAAGGCCATTTCACCATATAGATCAATTTATAGATTTTCAGGCATGATTTTAAATACTTATCGATAAATTTTCCCAGTGTAACCAAAGTCGTGGATGAATATGATGCATGAAATAACAATAATGAAATGACAACAAAAGGCACGGATAACAAAAGGATTGCCATAGCCGAGAAAGAGACGGATTCATGGATGATGAATGGAGCATGGAGGACAGAGGATTGAGGGGAGATACCGAGCCACATGACTGGGGCAATTCAAAATCAAATGTGATTTTTGGTCACTTTGAAAATTGTTGATTAGTGACGCCTGAATGCAGCCCAATGAAACCGGAGGCCGCTGCATTAAAGCAATTTCAAGATCTCCGCCCGCCTGTCACTCAACTGCCGGAATCCAAAGGGGGGAGTACTTGGCAAGTCGATGGTATGGGGTTGGGATGGGATACGATGGGTTGGCCAACTGGACATGGTACTGAAAGTGCAGCTCAGTCGGGCGTGCACTTGGCACACTATTCCCACAATTGATGGGACTAAAAAATAAAGTACAAAAATGCCAGGGACCTTTGTAACCATATAACCTCGGTGCGTGTGTGGGCCATTCCATTTAAACAATTAAAGCTACATAAATTAAAAATGTGGTTAAGCCTCGGCCACCGCCAACAGCGACAAATTGCATGTACTAGTGGTAACTAGAGCCACATCCGCCCCCTCTGCCACGCCCCCACATTAATTCGAGCATATTAATTCGAATCCACATGCCAGTTTTCTGTGTGTGTTTTTGGTTTTCAGATAATACCGCAAAATGGGCGTGGCCCCTCCCCCGGCCAGGCTCATTGTTAATCAATTACAATCTCCAGTACGCACTCGACCTTTGCCATTTGCCAAATTATTGGCTCTATTGTTCGAATTGGTTGGAAATTCGTAAAATGGTAAAGTTTACACTCCCAAGATTTTAATTAGGTCAGCACTTGAAGGCTCTTTAAAATAGATAGATACGTTTTTAAATAAATAACTTGATTAATTTATCACACCTGTTTAATAAATCTGTTTAGTTAAGTCTTAAGTTAGTTAAAACCTTATATACATATTTTACCCCAAAAAATGAGAATTGTAGTCCAAAAATGGAATGTTATACCTAGTTGATCTCGTATTAAAATTCCCAATCGATTGGCATTCAAACCTGTTAATTTTATTTTTTGCACATTTTTTTGCAAAAAAATCATGATGACCCCTTATTAAAAATGCGAAAATTTATCAAAAAATTAAATTCCTAGAAAGTAATGGGGATCGTTAGTTTAGTTGTTAGCTGCCCAAAACTTTCGGTTTTTTTATTGTAGGCCTTGGTTTGTCCAAAACACGACTGAAAAACCGCAAAGAAATGTTTATTTTTGCCTAAAATTCTATTCCATATTTTCCAATCTAAAATATCAGTACTTTGGCGGAGACAAAAAAATAATGATCCCAAAATGAATTGTCATACCTTTATGAGCTCGTAATTAAATTCCCAATCGATTGGCATTCAAACCTGGAACTTTTAATTTTTGGCCATTTTTGGCAAAAAAAAGTGAATGGAATCCATTTATAATATTGTTAGCTGCTCAAAAGACTTTGGGACAATACAAATTTAAATATGAACCAAAAACTCTTTAATACTTATACTTATTGACGTGTATAGGGTAACTAAATTAGGCTGATATTTGTTAAATTTACAGTTTCTATTCTTAATGATTACTTATTGAAATGAAGATTTTTTAAATTACAACCACCTACGGCTCTTTCCGTATTCAAATTTCCGTTAACTGAATAATGTGTCCGTACCCAATTTTGGTATTTAAAAATGTAGTTGGTATATTTTGGATATACTGGTATACTGTTTTTTCAGAGATTTTTTAGTGGATGTGACCTCTAGCTCGTGTTATTCAACGTTCAAAAAACATCTGTTTATTTCAATTAAAACTAGGAAAATACACAATGTTAGGTCTACGAGCTGTGCTGCCAAGAGGAAAACAGGTTGCTTTGGCCCTGGGAAGTGCCACCCGACAGATTTCCCTCGTCCAAAACTGCAGGTGCATCGCCGGCGTCAATTTCCCAAAGCAACCGCAGTTACAACCACAAAAACTCCAGCAATACAGGTGCCTCTCGGTGAAATCCACGAAAACGGAGTCCGAGGATGCACTGCAGCGGATTTACTATGGAACCCTGGCGCCCCGAATGAAGGTGGTCAAGTTCTTCTCGCTGAGCACCAGCTTAGCCGGCTTGGCCGCCCAGCCCATTCTCCTCGAGCAGGGAATGAAAATCGGAGGCACCGGAATGGCCGTTTTCCTCTGCACCATCGGTGGATTCTTCACCTTTGTCACCCCACTGCTGCTGCACTTCATCACCAAGAAGTACGTGACGGAACTGCACTACAATCCCCAAACAGAGGAGTACACGGCCACCACAATATCGCTGCTTCTGCAAAAGATTAAGGTGAGTAGATGGTAATGGTTTTTATCTATAAATAATACTGTGTTTTCCTTCCAGACGAAATTCCGACCTGACGACGTGGTGGTTCCTGAGGTTCCCGGCATGTTCACCTCCTTCCTGGTCAACAAACGCCCGCTTTTCGTGGATCCCGCCCTTTTTGACGATCCCGAGCACTATGTTAAGATCATGGGCTACGACAAACCCATCGATTTCAAGTTGGATATTAGTTCAAACCCGGAAAAACCCACGAAGACAAAGGAGCAGCAATAAAAAGGAGGGATGTTTTATTTATAAAAGATATTTCTTCATAAGGAAAACTCTTGTACATAGAAAAATTAAAGGCTTCTGAGAGCTAAAACTTAAAGATTTCGGTAAGAGCAACATTTATAAGGAACACATTCATTTGTTTTTATCCTATAACGTTAAATTCAGAAATTACTTCTGGTTCTGATTTCTTAATAACATAAACGGGATATGGCAATATAAAAAGTATTCAGTACTGCATTCCAAAAATGAACTGCATATCATCTGGAGTCATGCAATCGCGATCACGACACTTGATAAGTCGTTTTAGGATGCGGTAAAGCTTTCCAAGATATTCTTTTCTCTCATCCTTTTCAAGGTGCTCCAAAACGCTGGCATCCGGAACCAAGTAGAACGGGAGAAATCCCCTTCGAAGGAACATCGTCATAAAGACAATCGCCTGAGAGAAAAGGATTAATATTAAAGATCACCCGCAACAATTATAAGCACTTACCCGAATGAGTATTTTACCTGGCGATTGATTCCAGCTTATTTCCTTTTTCTTGGTTGCGTTCAGAAAGAGACTTTTGATGGTGTAACTGAAGATCTTGGGCATATCATTGGCATCCCGCAAAGCCTTCATTAGCCGGAGTCCGTTCTTAAGGTGCTGCTTCTTCTCAAAAACCATTCGCTCCCAGTGAGGAGCACAGACGACAAAAGAAAGGGGGTCATCTGGAATATCGGGATTTCGGATTTTACAGGGCACGGCGTACCAGTTGCGATCCTCGTTCCGGTGTTGGGGAAAAACCCGAAGCCACTCCGATGCCAAAAACCTGAAAGCGGGCACAAAGTCGAAGCAGATCTTTCTCCCGGAATCGGATACATGCCCTCCGGTTATGTTTTTCAGCTCGTAGGTTCGTCCACCTCCGCAATGGATGTATTTTATTTCTGGCATCACTTCGTTGACATTATCCCGGAACCAGGCCTGAACCTTTCGGCGGCTAATGAAGTAATCCTCTCCTTGCTGATTCACCAAGTGCATAGGGATTCTATCCCCTTCGACCCGCAATATCACGTAGTTGCGTTGTCCGATCAGCGGTACGGGCTCTACTTTACACGGCAACTGGATAGTGGTCAGCATATCAAACTCGTCAGGCAAATTGATCTTAACATTGTCCAGATTACTGCCCGTCAAGGAGAGTCCACGGAAAGCCGATGCGAAGTAAGGATCTCGGCGGGAAATCGCCTGGATAAACTCATTTTCGATTTGCTGGGCATCTTCCTTGAAAGTTTGTCGGTCCTCGGGATCAATGGAGATCTCATCGAGCACAAATTCAATGGCCTCACCGAATTTGAATAGTTTTTCCGATGAATATTCCATTGAAACTTAGTTATGATAGATGGAAAGCTTAAGAATATTTTTAATTCTTTAACAAAGAGTCGTTCTTTATGTAAATGTGTCTAAGCTTAGTTTGAGTTCTTGATAAAAGATTAAAATCTTTTTAAACACTGAACAAAATTGAAGTACTTAGAGCAGAGAGTCAAAAGCGTTATTCTAAAAAAGCGTTACTTCTAAGAAACCGTAATATTTCCCGAGAATCGTTTAAAGTTTTTGGGAGTTCTGAGTTTGTAGTTGCCAGACCGATTTGGGTTTCGGACTTAGGATTTGGTATTATTTGAGGAGAGCTGGGATTTTTCGGTAATACAGAAACGGCCATACCTTTATTTACATCGAACATATGATGGGCACGCCGGAATTAAAAATAATATTGGAATTTAGGTAAAGAAAGCCCTCTATTTATTTATATTTTTAATAATATGTGATAATTCTATAGTGCAGGAGCGGAGCTTCTTTTTGGCAACATCAAACGCCGGCAACTCGCCTTGGATGGTAATCAAAAATGTACGTTTTCAAATCGGTTTATGATTTGTTCTTAATTTTAAGTTAAATTAAATATATTTTTAAAGGGACCATTGCCAATCTGCTGAAGTGGATGCATGCCAATATCTTAACAGACCGACCGGAACTCTTTCTTCAAGGAGACACCGTGTAAGTTTGTTCAAAATAAACCCTTTTATCCAAAGTTGTTTATCTTTCTTCTTTGCAGACGACCTGGAATTTTGGTTCTGATAAATGACACAGACTGGGAACTACTGGTGAGTTAAAATCCACTATATCTTTAGGATATTTCCTCCACATAAATCCATTTCCAGGGTGAACTGGAGTACGAGCTGCAGCCCAACGATAATGTTCTCTTTATATCCACTTTACACGGCGGTTAAGAAAGTTCCTCAAAGTTAGTTAGTCCTAAGCTAAAAGTTTATTTTTATACGACCACCTATTAAATTGTAACCGAAAAAAGCAAAAACAGTTTTTGACTGAATCAGAATTACGTCCCTTTACCAAAATTGGCAAAGGCCCACACGATGGTTCGGGAAGTAAAGTTTTCATCATATCATTCAGAGATTGTAAGTCATCAAGACTCCCCTATTTATACGAACAAATCCCCGAACAAGCACTTGGGAATTGTAAGGCAGCTATAAATAGAAAACATTAACTGAGCTTTGGCGGGTTATTTGAATTTAAGTAAACACACGATCGTTTTACATTGAAGCAACATTTATTGATTTTAAATTTTCGCTTATACTTATTTATCGATTTAATATAATGTATAGATATATATTTTTATGTTCGTTTACGATTACTTTAGATGTAGGCACTTAGGTTACATATCAACTAACTGTACGTAATGAACTTCGATTCAGATATGTTGGGCATCGGCCACGCCCCTTTTTTTTGGGTGGTGCTCATGGCTCCCATCGATTCTGTGTGTATGGATCGTTCGATTGTGTTTTGTGTGGACTAAGAACTACATGTGAAATACGCTTCGACATTGACACGCTGAATTCAATAATTTCAATTGAGTTTTCCGAAAAAACAAGGCCAAACCAAAAGCAGCGACTATGACAAATTAACGAAAACTAAAAATGTAATAAATAATAAATAACAAAAATAATGAATTAAAATTAGGGATCGAACGTAATGGTACAATCTGGATCCGATGAAACCGTTCTGCTAAAGCTATAAATGGGATTCCTATGTACTAATAAATCTAGATTCGATGCTCCAGGAGCTCCTATTTGCCGCTGTCCGGACTGGCGGACTCCGCGGCATGGGCGTAGGATCGGTATCGCCGCAGGATCACCGTGGATGCGCTGGTCGTCGAAGCTCCGGATGCCGTTGTCGTCGACGTGGACCAACTGCTCCGGCTGCTCTCCGCCGCCGACTGCTCCTGATCCGGGGTTACGCACATGTCGGAGACAATGCCGCTCTCTGAATGGGGGATATTTACACATATTGGACACATTATATATCGGCTAGAGCATAAAACATGGAACAAGAAACATGCAGCACACGACAGGCACGGATTACGGGTTAGGTTTTGGTGTAGGTGGGGATTATATACAGTAATACTGGGGGGTTCTGCGAGATTATGTACAGGGATCAACTACTAGCTACGGGGTGCGTCTAGAAGAAGTAGCACAGTTCAAGCTCTATACCCATGGACAGCTGGCTGACAATGGTTGTCGATCGTTTGTGGTGTCGTTTGCTGTTCCCGAGTCCGTTTCCGCTTCCATTTCCATTTCCGGAAGTGCTGCCTCCCTCGGCAGCGGTTTCCGTCCCCTTGATTCCTCCTCCACTCGGAGATTTGCCCAACTTCAGGGCCTGCGTTTCGTTGATCAACTCCAGGGTGGCACTGCAGTTGGTGGAACTGGTGCTGTGTGGTCCCGGCAACTTGCCAAAGTGCAGGCTATGCCTGCCCACGGCATCGTGGTGACCCGACGTGGAGCCTCCGCTGATGGAGGAGCCACTGGTGGTGCTGGTGCCGCTGGACAAGGAGCTCTCCGAGATCAGCGAGTTGGGCCGTCGCATGCTGCCCTTTCCCGGCTCCGAGTGACGCAGCTTGGGGGCTAATAAAATCAAAAGAATGAATAAAATATAAACATTTAATTGGTTTATTCCACTCACTCTTGTTCAGCTGCGCCAGTGGAATCGAGCGATCGCTGATCTGGTTGTTGCTCGGTCGAATATCCAGGCAGGGTTTACTGCCAATGCCCATAGAAGACATCTCCGCCAGACGAACCTCTGCAAAGGGATAGATATTTTGTTTAAAAATATTTTTTATTAAATATAAAGTAGAGATTAACCTCGGTTTCGTTTCGCCTGCTTCCAGAGCAGCTTGGAGATCTCCTCGGTCCAGGCATTTTTGATATCCTCCGACATGCACTGCAGCATCCAAGTGTCGTCGGGCTTCCGTTTCCGGAACCAAATCTCGAACTTGGTGGCCGAATCGCCTGTGTGCGCTGTGAGGCCAATATCCGAAGTCTTAATGCTGTTCTTGTAGATGTAGATGTCCAGATTCTGTTGATAACAAAAATTGATAAACAGATCTTAACTGTTGGTATGATTTTATGTGGTACCTTAAGCCTTTCAAATGCTGCCTTTTGATGCAAAACAAATTATAAATGTATAAATTCGTACTTTATTAAGAATTCAGTCCATTATTTCTACCATAATTTCGTAATTTATCCTCTTTCATAACTTTTAAACCTGAAACCTAATAGGTTCCTAACTTTATAACTACACAGAAAAAAGAATTGACAAAAGATCCGATTGATATTTTATATTTTTAAAGATCAAGTTATTCATATCATTTTGATATTTATGAGTATCTTATTTTACATTTTTTATTTAAAAAAAAATACATTTGGTATTTTAGATAATACGATAAAATATCGAATTGATATATTTGAATCATAAATTGAACATAAGTCATATCAGCTTTTTATTGATATGAAATAAGGTAGAATTGACTCTACTTCATATCTTTTTTTTTCTGTGCATACTATGTGTTATTCAAACACATTCTTACCTTGTGATCGGGAAACCGACGAGCCTTGCTGAAGAGCACCAGTTCTTCGAAGAGGAACACCTGTCGCAGGGTCTTCTTGCCACCGCGTCCTTGCCAAACGAGGAACTCATTTTGGCGCAGCAGTCGTCCCTGCTCCTTCACATTGACATCGCAATCGCGCAGTGAGTCCATGGCTAGCAGATCATTACCGTGGCGCAGCTGGAACTTGACCATCTCCTCCGCCCGCTGCAGTTCCTCCACATCCGCAGCGATCTCTTGAAGAGCTGCTCCTTCGACTTCCTTGCAGGCCTTGACCAATTGCTGCAGCAGCAAAGCATATTTTCCCATCCTCTGCACAGGTTTCAGCAGATATGAGGCCAGATCCAGTTTATCCTGGAGCTGAATTTGTTTCGGCTTGAAGAATGAACTGCCATATTCGCTAAGCAGAGTATCGCTCTTGGGCTTGTTCTTGTTGTACAGAGCATATAGGTAGAACTTGGACTCCATTTCCAGGAAGGCAGCTCCCACTTTTAAAGGATTCCGCTCGTACCGCTCCAGTTCGCCCAGAAAGTGCGAGTTGTGGAACTCGAAGATCTTCTCGATGTTGCCGAAGATCACATTGCGCTGGCCCCTCAGCGGCTGGGGGATATCCTCGCGCAGCAGCTCGTCTATATAGTTCTCGATCACGTAGTACAGGGAGCGCACGTAGTCGCGTTCGGTACCAATCATCTCGCGCATGATCAATAGAAGCGTTCTGTATGCAGATTTAGTGTTAATAAATTAAGGCAGTTTTATTATTTTCACTCACTTTTGTATCTTGGGATCCAGGCAGCTGAGCTCCTCCAGCTTGGGCAGCTCCAGACTGGAGCCATGGCACTGCAGATGGGCATTCGCCTCCATGGGCGAGTGCATGTCCATGTACCTCTTCGAGGGTCGATCGAAGCACTCGTCCTCGAGGAGTTCGTCGTGACTGAAAAATATATAAATTGTTTTTGGATTTAATGTTAAATTAAAAAGTTATTTTTTTTTTTTTTTTTTTATTTTAAAAAAAAAAAAAAAAAAAAAAAAAAAAAAAAAAAAAAAAAAAAAAAAAAATTAAAAAAAAAAAAAAAAAAAAAAAAAAAAAAAAAAAAAAAAAAAAAAAAAAAAAAAAAAAAAAAAAAAAAAAAAAAAAAAAAAAAAAAAAAAAAAAAAAAAAAAAAAAAAAAAAAAAAAAAAAAAAAAAAAAAAAAAAAAAAAAAAAAAAAAAATAGCTATTTTGTTAACTACACAAAAAAAGCATGTTCCCGTAAAATCGATATGGTCATGTAAAACACATATCGATTTTATATGAAATACTCTTTTTGACCATTTCAAATTAAAATTGATCCTAAATAATGTAAAATCGATCTACGTTTCATATCGATTTTTATACCCTTGCAGAGGGTATTATGATTTCAGTCAGAAGTTTGCAACGCAGTGAAGGAGACGTTTCCGACCCCATAAAGTATATATATTCTTGATCAGCATCACTAGACGAGTCGATCTAGCCATGTCCGTCTGTCCGTCCGTCTGTCCGTCCGTCTGTCCGTCCGTCTGTCCGTCCGTTTCTACGCAAACTAGTCTCTCAGTTTTCAAGCTATCGGGATAAAACTTTCCCAAAAGTCTTCTTTCTATTGCAGGTAGTATATAAGTCGGAACGAGCCGGATCGGAAAACTATATCATATAGCTCTCATAGGAACAATCGGGAAAAAAAAATGTAAAAAAATTATATCTTGGGTGTTTTTGAACCTACAACATCCTACTTTTGGAAATGTAATTTTTTATCTAATTCTGAATTTCGAATAAAATTTTTTTAAAATCGGACGACTATATCATAAAGCTGCCATAGGAACGATCGGAAAATTAATGGGAATATAATAGGAAATAAATTATTGCTTCGTTGGTTTTTATTGTATTCTCTTCTACTCTAGGATATAACTCTTTTTAAATATTTTCGAATTTCAATTTTAATTTTATCAAAATCGAAGTACTATATCCTATAGCTGCCATTGAAACGAACGCAAAATTAATGAGAAATAATAGGAAAATTAACATTTTTGCGATTTGTAAATTAATAGGAATTATCTGCAAGGGTATATAAGCTTCGGCTGGCCGAAGCTAGCTTCCTTTCTTGTTTTGGGTGTATTTAAATTGTCCTATAGGATGTAGATCTTAAAAATATATATTTAAAGTTTAAAGGGGTTAAAGAGGAATCTGCATAGATTCTCAAAACTTAAAGGATCGCCTTATATATACACAAGATTACCAACCTCTTTTCGTTGAGGCTTTGGCAGGAGCAGATCCTGGCCAGCTTGGGATTGCGTTCGCAGTTATCGCAGACGCCCACTCCGGAATCGGCAATCTTGGACTGCTGCTCCTCTCCATCGCCGCCGTCGCAGTCCTGCTCCTCCTCCTCCTCGTCCATCTGGTCCATGTCCTCCAGGTTGCGGCTCTCCCGCCAGCAGCTGCAGCTGCTGCTCGAAGGACCTCCCTCGAAGGAGCTGCCGCTGGCCGAGCTGCAACGATAGCTGACCCTCTTCCCAGCGGTCGGAGCTGGTGTGCTACTGGCCACCGGCAGCGAGTGGCTCTTCCTCATCGCCGGCCAGTGCTTCTCCAGCAACGCGGTGGCGCCCAGTTGCTCCGCCAGGCGCTGCAGCTCCTCCCTGGCAGCGGTTTCCCGCTGATGCTGGGTGAGCAAGTGCAGCAGGCGGGCGGCTGCCTCGAAACGCTCGTGGGCCAGCTCCAATTTCTGGCCAAATTGATCTAGGGCGGACTTCAGGTTATTGGCGCTTTCGCTCAGGACGGAAACTTTCAAGGCAGCGGCATGCAGGTCCCGTCCTTTGGCCAAGTGTTTCTGTTGGAAATTTAGAGGGTTAAAAATAAATTCTAGGATCATAAAAGTGCATCACTTACCATGGCTATAAAGTAGTACTTCTCGAACTCCTGCTCCTGGGTCCTCAGCTGCGATTCGTTGTCCCATTGCAAGTGGGAAAACTTTTGCAGATTCTCCGCTCCATCGCTGCCCAGCCAAGAGGTGACCTTTAAAAATAGGACATGAAAACCGAAATCAGTGGGAAACCTTCAACTCGCTGTAAACAAGCCCACGCGCTAGGCCAAGGTTCCCCATTGCCATGTCCCACTTCATCATCATCATCATCATGGTTGTCTCCTCCCAATTTCCAATTCCCCATTCACAGCGCTGAAAAGTGAAACTCATAGAAATGATCGACGCTCTAATTAGCCTCCACTTTACAAATTAAAATCCAATCGAACACAAATCAAATAAAACGACTCAACTATGGGTATTTTGGAGGCAGCTGAGCCTCCCAAAGGTATTGGAAACCACAATATAAGCCAACCACACAGGTAGACAAGGCATAAAAAAACAGAAAAAAAAACAACAGCCACGGGCAATCAACGATCTCACATTGATAATTTTGTGGCTCTAACCAATTTTTAATCACCTGCTGCGTCCAATTGAATTGATACAATCGACGACGATGATGATGATGCTGCCACGGAACCGAGTTAACCAGCTCCCATACCATCTCATCCCATCCCAGAAAGCGCCCATCCACCGACTTCCAACTCCAAATTCCCAATTACCAGGTCGAGACGCGTGCACCGGCGCATTCACTTTCCGTTTTTGGGTTCTGTCTCAGTTTTATTTGTACACAGAAAGAAATTACGGTTCCTTCAAGAAAAATGTTTAAAAACTAATCCATAAGATATTTATATTTTTACAGAAATGTTTTCTTTCCTATCTATCTTTTAAATCCCATATTAAATATTTATTTCTTTATTTAAAATGAAAAATTATCTGTGTTTTTTTCCGAGTGCCAATCTCTAGCTTCGAGATCCACTATCTCGAACCTCTTTTGGGGCATGTCCACGTCTCCATCCCACCCAATGAATGAAAATACAGTCTCAGGGGGCTGGGAAGTGGGAGTTGGGGCTTTCGTCTTATAGGGGGGATCTGGAGCAGGGGCTCTAAACAGCTGCTCCAGTTTCACAGTCGCAGCACAATCGGCTGTCAGAGACGCTGACTCTTCATGCTCATCAGATATGGCAGGCACGGGTTTTAGCGGCGTTGTATACTCCTATATATATACATCTAAGCCATGTACAGGGTGAGGCAATCGACTTGATTTCTTAATTGACTTCGTTCTTTAATTAATCTAATTTTGGAACTCAGCTGAGAGCTTTTGCCCATTCGATTGAGCATGGCGGATTGATAATTGCATCGAGTGGTTTTTAAGGGTGTCTCAAGAGATACTTTAAAAAATGTGTGGTTTCCATATTCGTGGAAATTCAAAAAAACTTGGAGAATACATTTAATTTTTATTTAATTTCTAAGTTAATTTAAGCAATTCTATTTTAGTATTACAAAAAAGAAAAACGTTGACTCACGTTCAGGTAAAAAGGTTTAATCTCATCAATGGAAAACTCAAGTGAATCACAGTTAATCTAGAAAAGCAAACAAAAGATTATAAGCACGCTCTCTAAATATTTAATTGCCACACTAGTGTGTTTATTAGTAGTGAAAACACAGAGGAAAAATAATTAAACCGGACATTGAAATCGGACCTTGAATTTCTCAATTTGGTGGCTCGATTATTTTCAATCAACTAAAAAAACAGAACCACATGCACCGATCGATGATGTCATTATGTGAAGTATGTCAGAACAATTGGATTGGGTCACAAATACTCATTATGATCGATTTGAATGGGTCGCAGATGATGCTTTTGCTCCATATAATAGACCGATGACACCCTGTATTGCGAAGATAGACTGAGCCGGCTTGCTGAAATTGTTTACATTGAAACCGATCGTCGGGTGGGGGAAGTTTGGCCTTTTTGGCTCTATGCGGCCGATCGGCAGATTGTTTCTCAACGATTGCCCCGCACAGGCTGGCCATAAATTAATTAATTGATTTAGTAAAACTCGGCCCCAAGTGGATTTTCACTGCTAACTGCGATGGCGATAAGACGTGGGCTGATCACTGAACTGTGAACTATTAATAGCCGACTCGATTGCTATATCATTACGCCGACCGACCGAAGTCGATGGCTGACTCACATAGCTGGCCATTTCGGCTGCCAATTTGCCGGCACTTGGGTCCTCTGTTTTTGGCCAGGGAATCATGGCGCGATTGTTAGCAACGAAGTCCGCCAAACGCGACAAAAGCTGCAGCAACATGCCACAGGCAGCTCAGAATCGCGACTGGATGTGGAAAAGCCGAGGCAACTGCTCCGCGTCACCCAGGCCCACGATCTTCTATATATATTTGTATATACGTATACCCAAGTACTCGGCTCTACACATAATGAGGCATTTTCAATTTCATTTCGGCTTTCCGTCCTCGTCGCTGGCAGGCGGCACTCAATGAAATTCAATAAAATCAAAACAATTAGCAAGCGTAAACAAAAAAAGGCGAAGAACAAAAAAATGGGTTAGACAGGGAGCCCCGGCACCCACGGCGAACCGATGACGATGTCGCCAATATCGGCGGAGTGGAGTCTTGCCTTTGGTTACACGGCGAGAAGAAAAGGATCAAAGACTTAATAAATCTATATTTGAATTTCAAATAATAATAATAATAATGTTCCTTTTTTTTTGGAGGAAATAATTTTGATTTATAGATTTCGATTCCAAAAAGTGCTATTATTACTGTTAAAATATTTTGACATATATATTTGCGAACAAAGGAAACAACCCTAAAATATCTCAATTTTTAATAAAATAAGATTAAAAGATATCTCGGGAAATTCCCTTTCTCATCGGTTGAATTGTAATAGTTTATATTAGTTCTTTTCAGTGCACCTAAGTAAATAGGCAAATGTCAACCATCCGCCTGCGACTTCGTCTTCGGTGGCAGAAGTTGCTTCTGCGGCGATAAGAACGCGTCCATCTATGGCGGATGTGGAGCTCTCCGCTGATAAGAGCCACTGCATTCGAGTTGACTGCACTCTGTTCTCGACGTGCTGATCTTAGGAGCTCTTGCGGCTGCCGCCTGACATAAAACGCAAATTTAACGTGACAGTTTAACAAGTTGATCGCATGCGCCATAAAACACATGCAACACCTACAACAACAACAACGGCGGCTAGTTGTGAGCATGCGTGGCTTCCAGTGGTGGCCACTCCCTCCTCCTGATCCCTGCTCCTTCCTCCTTGCTCCTTACTGCTGTCGTGTAATTTACACAAATGTCGCGCATTTATCTCGTGGCCATAAACATTTTTAAGCCACAATATCGAATTTATTTTGACACTTTACAAAGTTGTCGCCAATGTTGCAGTTGTTCTTGTAGTTGTTGCAGCAGCAGCCTATCATAGACAACCGAAAACAACAACTATTGGCATTCGGTTTACCCTTCAATAGGGTAATTCGATTTTCTCTGGGGATTTGAAGTGCTCTTTGGATCATTACTCTTTATCATAGGCCAACACATGTTGTCCATTCGATTTGAGTCTATCAACTGAACTTATGGTTTCCTGTGGAAGTTCTGCCTTGGTCACAATTTCCGTTTTTCAATAGATGATTAAAGAAATCTACATCATGTGTTGTCTATTAGCCTAAGTTTATTATTGCGGCAAACATATTTCTAAAATACTTCATCATCTTACAAATTGTTAGACCTTCAACAAGTGTAATAATTTCTGTTAAAGTAAACATTTCTTGTTTATTTAAGACTTATTACAAAACTATAAGTATTAATTTCATTTGTAAGAATATTTGCAATTCGGTTTGTCTTGAATTACATTTTATTTCCCCAGCTTGTTGGGGTGCAGGGGATTTTCGACTGGGATTCTGTGGATTCTGCTTCTATTTCTGGTATTGGGTAATTTATTTGAAGTACCTCTTAAATGATATGCTTTTGCCATTTGGCTGTCTCATTTCTTGTTGGCTAATTTGTTCTCTATGTTCGCCTGTTGTTGATGGTGATGTGTCTCTTTGGTTTCTCAAGCATATCGCAGCCGGCTTATCTCGGGCTTTTAAGTATTTCTGCTCTTGTCCGGGCTGTTTTGCATTTGAATTTATGGCAGCACGTTAGAACTTATTGCGGCGATAACTGGCTAGGAGATCAGAGGAATGGCCCTCGGAATGCGAGTGCGCCAAGTGAGACATTAAACATGAAAGCCGACTAATGGAGAGGGAAAAACCAATTGGAACTTCAATTTTTCTTGGCACCTAGCTAATACACCTAAGAAAATATTTGAAGTACTATTTTAGGAAAAAAAAGATAACTAAAAAATCTTTTCTTTTGTTTTTAAAAATTCTAAGAAAACTATTTAATTTATTCTATTTCAAAAACATGTTTAAAGAAAATATACAAATCTTTTAAGTGAAAATATACCCACTTCGATAAAAAATATTACTGGACAAGCTTAACAAATCCCATTTTCTTTCTCTGCAACATTTTCCAACCACTAAACGTGATTTATTTGGAATTTTATTGCCCTGCTAACCGGCAATAACCAGATCTGCGATCCCTTCGGGCCCACATACCTACATTCGACACCCCACTGGGCCAGAAAGGGGTTTATGTATGGAAAAGCCTTGGCACGCACGGCTGCATTCATTACCGAAAGTAATAAAGCAATTTCGTTTGACTATTTTACGGCAAAAGGCGATTACGATTTTACTTATTTTTCACTTTCCAAACCAGCAATCGGCCGTCCAAATCCCATGGCCCAGGTCTCCAGATAGTGCGACACGCACAAAGTCATAAATAGTGGCCACAAAAGGCCAAGACGTTAATGTGGTGACAATATTGCATGCAACCGACCGGCGATTTGCTGTTGTGCACCTTGGTGTTGCTGCTGTGTCGCCAGGGTGTTGCTGGTGGAAAAGCAGCTTTGCCGCCTGCTTTGGCACAGCAAGTGCATCACGGGGGGCGGGTCTGGGGCCAGGGGCGTGGCAGCTTATCGCCGATCGGGCGACGGCGACACTGTCCAACTTCAATTGCAACTCCAGAGCCAACTCCATTTCAACTGCATTGGGGAGCGGACGTGACGACGCTCAAAAAGTGATGACAGCTGTTGATGAAGTTGACGATTTCTAAAAATGCGTGTAAAATTAGTGTTAAAAAACATGTCAGACCCAATGTGACAGTTACGTTTTGACATGACAACAATTACACTTTGTCTGCTGACCGCCAAGAGCAGTATATATACTGCATATATTGCTGGTTTTGAAAGACTGAGACCGAGACCGAGACTCTAAGACCAGGACCCCAAACCCGTGTTAATTCAATAACCTGGACATTCTGGCCAAAGCAACGATGGCCAGCGGCGATGGCTGGCTTGCTAAGCGTATGATTAACGTCCGTTTTGATGACACAGCCAACATGGAACCATGGAGTCACGGAGGAGGAGGCACCACAATATACATATATCTATAGAGATATGGAGGAGCAGGAGAGGAGCCACATCTGCATTGTTTGTTTGCGTGGAACATTTGCATGCAACAATCTCAACCGGTTGGGATTGGCGGCACTTGCGGCAAGCATGTGTTCATTTCGTACGAGCACTCGTATCTTGGTAGCTTTTCGGTAGAGATGACAGCGGACACGGGTGCTACATATCATCACGCACGGGGAGGTTTTGGGACCGAAGATAGCCAGAGATATAATAGGTTCGCTCAGTTCATATAGACTCATGTTTAACTTATAGGACCTTCTACATAGGAATCCTAAAGTATTCTTTAGTTTACATATAAATCCTGAGATTTTCATATAATATGATCTAATTTCCAGCAGAAATTTAATTTCTCTTAATATATTTAATAGACAGTGTTCAACTTATAGATATAAATCTTGAGATTTTCATATAATATGATCCAATTCCTTACAGATAATTTCTCATAATATGGTTAAAAGACAACTGAAAGCGTTTTCGATCTCAACTTCAAATCCTTTTAAGCCTATTGAGCTTCTTGTTTGTCAAGTTTTTGTATTTGGTTCACTTAAGATTTGTCAATCTAGCAAAGTGCCCATAGGCTTAGTTTCAATTCTCGACTTCTGGCTAGCATTTATCCAAATGTCAACGGCTAATCGACAGCTGGCTAAGCAATTGAAAGACAGATAAGTGCGTCGTGGGGAAAATGAATAAAACCCGAAATCAAAAACTAATTTTCCGCCGACTAATTGCAATTAAGGGTAATCTTATTTTCCTGTATTGCAACCCGTTTCTATTTTCCATACCGTTAACCGGTGGGGAAAACTAACGATACGTTTATGTAATGGGGTCTTCGAAAAACCAACACAGGTGGAAGAGTGGAGGAATTCTGAATAACTTGAGTTAATTACGAAATATGCCTTTGTCCATCTCTATTGGGTGGAAAACTTATTATGCCCGCGAGGGCTAATACATGCGGTTATTATTAATGCCCCTGTGGATGGGGTCCCGTGGTTCGAGGTTGCCGGGGTTCCAAGGCGGTTCGCCTCGCCATGTCGACAGTAAATAAGCCTTCATTTTTCATGGCTCTCGCCTGACCGAATTCTATGCAGCCAGTTCTTGGCCAAAAGCAGCTGGCAGTGCGGTTATGCAAGCTGAAAAAAACGAAAAATACAGGAGAAAGGAGCTGGGGGTACTGCCACCGCATTCCTGGCCCAAAAGACAGCCGGTCAAATGTCAGGGGCCATAAATAAGCTGGCTTCCGCGACACAGATCCTCGCTGCCTCCGCAGAAGCCAAATCCAAAACCAAATGCTCCTTATGGCCATTGCAATTCAAGGCGCGAAACAATTAAACATAGTTTTCATTGCACAAAGAGGCCGACATTGCGCAAATTAATTTGTGCAGCAGAAAACAGAAAAAGAGCAATCGTCTCAAAGAAAGCGCGCTAAGCAAATCCAATTTCACCGTCAGCAATGTTTTTTTATCTGTCGCCGCAGCTGCATTTACCCCTTTCTCCGGCCAGCACGGCAAACACCCATCATGGCCATATTTGTGGAGCAATCCACCTTCATCTCGGGGACCCGAGCTCCCAACTATCCAAACTATCAAGCTAGCAGGCTACCAAGCTCCCAGCTAATGCAGCCGATCAACAATTTAGATACAATATCGCATATCGCATCATAATGTCGTCGTCGTCATCCTCTTGGCCAGCAAAATGGCGACACCACAGCAGCAGCAGTTGCAGCAACAGTTGCAACTACGGCAGCAACATCAAGCACGGCGGCATCTTTTTTCGCACCTTGTTTGAATGCTCGCGCCTAATGGACGACAGCAACATTAGTTTGCCGGCCGGCTGGAGACGCTTTTTGTGGTCCAGTTTCGTATGTTCGGCTTGTTTTGGCATCGCAGATTAAATATATTTAATTAAAAAGAAACAAGATGAATGCGAGATCAATTGACACGGCCAGCGGTGGATACACTATCTGTGTATCTTGCAGATATTTATAGCTGATTGGGAAAAACCGCCAAGAAGTTTGCTAGCACTCCCAAAAGGGCTGGGAGTGCAGATCTCTCACCTTTCCCACGCATAAAAATTCTTGTAAGCCCAATTCATCGAAAAATCTAATTTAAATTAAATGATTTTTATGACCGTGAAAAGGGGATGAAAAACAGAAACTCTGTGGTGTCAGATTTGAATTTAATCTACTTAAATTTTTAAAAGTATTTCTTAAAACCTTAAAATCAAAAATCAACTAAAAATGGTTTACAAATTATTTAATTACAAAAGTTAATAAAAATCAATTGAAACCATTTTGTTAGAGCATTTGAAAACTAAATGCTGTGGCTAGACAAAAGCCAACAACGATCTGCACAAAATTGGTAGCTGTCAACGCCTTTTTAATTGAAAGCGTGTTGGTGTTAAATACTCGTAAGTATCTCTTAGTATGATTTTTGCGCCGATCGCGATATGACAAGCGGGACAACGCTGACGGACGGACAAACGGACGGACAACCTCTCGAGCGGACATAAAGACAGCTGAATGGACGGCTGCGGCTTATCGGTGAACTACTTTTGGAATGGAAATGAATGAAATCAAATCGAAATGAAATGAAATGAGCAGAGTCAACGAATCGAATCGAATGCGAGTGCGAATCAATGGGCGCCCCAAACCGTCGACAAATCGATTGAAAAATCACAAACAAAAACAAACAGCAAACCAGAGACAGGGAGGGAAAAATAAAGATTGCATTTAATTTCTTTAACCTTGCTTTCACTTTTCTCATTAACTTTTCGTTGGCAATTAAAATTCAATTTTTGCTCAAAAATCAAGTCAGATAAATGGCCGCACATTTCTCAAAACTCAAAACCGAGCGGAGTGCGCGGGAGCGTGTGAAAAAGGCCAAGACGCCACATACGAGACGTTAACAAGGCTCGGCAAATTTTTAAATGCCAATTTCCGCAAATTATTAAATGAAATTGAGGATTCCGCACGGCTATCTATACATCTTTGGTTATGGGGAATTCAATCGGCCGTGGGGCCTTATATGGTGTGGGGTACAGAGAGGAAAATAAAGGTTTAAAATTTTGAAAATTTAGTTTTTTTGACAAAAAATTTAATTCAGAAGTTTTACATTTATTTAAATAGTTTTTCATTGTTTTTTAAAAATCTGTTCTAAAATTTAACGTATTTAAATGCTTTTTAACTAACTATACTTCACATTCTGTTAATTTGTTCATGTCTACAGATATATCACTTTAAACAATTTAAAAAAAAACTTCTGATGACAAACCTTTTTAAAAAGGCGTTAAAGAATTTATAAAACTGTTATTTGTTTAAACTAATATATTTTTCCTATGTGTACTAGCTGCGTGTTGTGTGTTTGCAATTTGACATACTTTTGTTAACCAGCAACTGCAACTGCCGCAGTAGTAGCAGCATCTTGCGGCAGCATCAACAATCATAATAATAATGGCAAAACTTAATAGTGGCGCGAAAGTATGACGAATATGTAAACTGCAGCTAATCCCGCAACAAATGATTGCGATTAATCAGCGGAATTGCATTAGCCGGGCCAAAAGGAGTCGCCCAACTGGGCGTAACTCCGACTGTCACTGTCGCTGATTAAGCGAGATGCCCAGTGGAAGATACAGAGACGATGCAGAGTTGTGGGTGCGTGCGCCTGCAATTATGCGCATGGCGCGCACGGTAGCCCATGCAATATGCAACATGCGAATATGGGGGATCCCATCCCTTTCCTTAGGCCCAAAACCAAAAACTCATTAACAAGTCAATTAAAAGGCCAGGAAATGGCAGATGGCTGCCATCCAGCTGGATGGGATGCCTGCGCTTATCTAACGACTCCATTTGGCCGCTGACTGGCAGCCTCATCTCTCAATCCCAATCGGCCGACCGATCCTGAAACTAATGCGAAAGCGCTACGAGGAGCGGACAGTAAGCGGATGCGCGTAATAAATTAATAAAGCCCGCATTAAACGCAATGCATATTCAATTAACAATGTCAGTGCGCCGCGTATCTTGCAGATATGCACATTCGGCATTTGGAGTCACATTTGCTGCGCCTGCCGCATTTCCTGTCAGCAAACACCAAATCCGAGGCCACCGCTCATTAAAACCGCGAGACAACAAAGTTGCCGGGAGAAACCAATTTTATGGATATTGTAAATCGTTCGGCGAACCTAGGGAATAGAGCCATCAACAGGTGGATCTGTATGAGGTAGAAGAACTGCTTTGCAGCAGAGACACTTTCGTTTGTTTTTGAAATTGTGAAAAATGTATACTACGTATTTTCTGTAAAAATATACCAGCTTATGTTGTATTATTCTTTAATATCAATACAATATCAAAGTTGCCAGTGGCACGTATCCATAAACAACTATAAGGTTCTATATTTCCCCATATTTCTTTTAACAATTTAAGACAAAAACCAAATCATAAGTTCATATAACTAATTTTTCCAGTGTAATAACTTTGCTTTGGTTTTTGTTTCTTATTGGTTCGTTTTTTCTTGAAAATTGTATGCTTGTGGGTTTTTCGGGGGATGCTAGATAGAACACATTGAATATATGAAGTGTATGAAAGTGGTCCTCAATTTCTCGCTGGCTTAGTAGGCCTGCGAGGATGTGGCCTCCTCATCCTCCTCAGGATCTCGATCCTTACTTCCGCTACCATTTTTCTCATTGGTCAAGAATCGGTGTATATGCGGAATCACACCGCCTCCGGAAATGGTGGCCGTGATCAGGGTGTCCAGTTCCTGGTCAGCTCGAATGGCCAGCTGCAGGTGGCGCGGGGTAATGCGCTTCACATTGAATTTCTGGGCGGTGTAGCCGGCACACTCCAGAATCTCGGCGGTCAGGTAATCCAGGACGGCAGCGGTGGTCACGGCTGCGGTGGCTCCGATGCGCATTTTTGATGTGTTGTGCTTCTTGAGTTGCCGGTGGACACGAGCCACGGGGAATGTGATTTGGGCCCGGCTGGATTGGGATACCGGTTTGGCCTTAGCCTTTGTCTTTGGCTTATCCTTTCCGGAAGCCTTCTCGGCTGTTTTACCAGGCATTTCTGTTTAATCGTTTTTTTTTTCACCGTACGATCGTTTGATTTACTATGGGGCTGTATAAAGCAGGTCCGACAGATAAGGAGACTTTTGTTTAAAGGGCAACTGGCTTTACTTTTGTTTACATGAGAACAGTTTTTCTAAAATTTAAAATTTGAGGCTTCCTGTTAGCATTTTAAGGTTTTCATCCTAGAAACAAAACTCTGACTATTCAGAACTTTTGTTTACATTTTCATAATTTTAGATTTTAATTTTTAGAGTTTTAAATCCTAAAAAAACTTGGCAGATTTAGAGCTACTTTTATGAACTTTCCTATGTTCCCATTTATATATATTTTACTTTAATGCCTGACTTACCTCACTGATCTCATCCTCGAGAGCTCGTTGCCTGGTCAGTTGCCTGAGTCGCTCCCTGCGCTGCTCCGTCAGCTGTTCCAGTCGCTGGGCCGCTCGGTCGACTTCGTTGAAGAGGAGCGTCACCTTGCGCAGCTTGCAGGCGGCATCCACGTTGAGGAATGCCCCCGAAGATGGTGGTGTGATATTGACCGAAGCCGGTGACGTCATCCGAGGCGAAGCTGGAGGGGCAGAGGTGATGGCCCTGGCCAGATCCTGAAGCCTGGCCAACTGGCCAGCACCCATCTTGCGGAGACTGTGGAGCTGCGAGTCCATCAGCGCACGACTGAGGGCGCGATGCTGGCCATAAAGTTGGCGGCGCGTGGGCAATCCCTGAAGATCGGCGGCGCGTATTTCGCTGAGGGCACTCACCAGCCGACCGCCGGCCGTCGAGCATTGGCGCTGAAAGGCCTCCAGTTGGGCGAAAAACTCGCGCCACTTGGTGGCATCGTGATGCCGCTGGCTAATCCCCGCCAGGCTGGATAGGGCGGGCACGGAGGGCAGCAATCCAGCGGGCAGCTGCGATGGCGCAACACTTGTCGTGACTTGGTCCACGCTAATGAATTTAACCAAATCCATTGGCGATGACGATGGCGATGGCGACGACGACGGCTCCTGTTTTTTGGGGTCAGAGTCAGAGCAGAGAGAAGCAGCGGATTCGTTGTCATTAGTGGACAAGTTCTGTTTTGGCCCAGCCGGTCATGTCGGGGCGGGTTAATTGGCTGGGGATCAGGCTGTCGAGAGCTCAGGCTGGGGCGTTAGCCCGTTGCCTGGCCTTTCGATCCCAACCCCCTGACAATGGCACGGAGAAAAAATGTTTCTTATTTTTTAAGAGGCCTTGGAATTTAAAATAAATTAAATTATTATAATTGAACAACTTTGTGATATTGTAGTAACTTTTAAGCTTGTTTTAATGGTTATTTTATAGTTAAAAAAAAAACATTTTTTGAAAGTATTAAAAAAATGTATTGAATTTAGAAATGAAAATATTTTAGAATTTTTGTAACAAACATTTTAAAAGTATTTTATGAGAATATATTTTTATTAATTCTAACTTATCACAAATCTTCAAAGCTTCAAATCTTAAGTAATTGAATTTAATTTATTATTTCAAAGTTTCACCAATTTATAAAGGGCTTCATATTAATTTTTCTCTGTGCCTTTTTTAGCAATCTGAAAGGTCAGGCTGTCTTAACTCTAAACTCACCGGGTGATCACTGTTATTGTTCTGCTGCTGCTGCTTCTGTTGCTGCTGCTCGTTGCACAATTGCAGCAGACTCGAATCGGAACAAACGGCCAAAATTTCACAATTGCCAATTTGCTTGGCTAAGAGTCTGAGACTTTGGCAAATTAAGTCGATTACGCATAAATGTTGAGACTTCTCGATGGCAATTAAAATGGTAAATGTCTGTTGGGCGGGTTGTTGTTTCTGCTGTTGCTGCTGCTGCTGCTCGGTGCTTTTATGGCCATTGATTGTTGCCGTCGTTCCGGGTGTTGCCGGGGCGGAGAAGGGGCAGGAGCTGCAAGAGCAATGGAAAACGAGCCGTGAGTTGTGGTACAAAGTGGCCGAGAAGGTGCACGGTCAAGTCGCATAAATAACATCAAAAGTGTTGGCCTGCTGTCGATCAGAGGTGGGCAAATAACAAGGATCGGTGAACTAGTTCAAAAAAAGTTCATTCAAAACTTGAACATATCACAAAAAATCAATATAAGGTGAAATTTAGAATCTAAAAATCTAAAACTTAGGAAGGAAACCCCTTTTTGGGAAATCCCTAATGTTAATAAAGTCCAATAAAGTTAAAATTAATTTGAATTTTAATTTCTAATCCTTAGTTAATTTAAGTATTTTTTGTATAAGCTCAATAGCTCAATTCAGCATCTAACAAGGTAATTTTCTTTAAAACATAACTATGCATTTTTTTGTAGTTCCCAAGTTGTCTTCATTATTCTTTCCCCCGCCGAAACAGAAACACTGGAGCACCTTATTAGAATTGTTAAATTTAATGTGCTTTCGGGCTATAATTTTTCAATAAATCATTATAATCTCGCCTAGCATTTCCCGCCTGATTCAGCCAGTGAATTAATCGCTCTCTTCCCGCTGATTCCCAGGCTTCCATGTGAACTGGTTCGCATGTGGGCCGCCGCCCAGCTCCATGGAGGCAAAAAGAGAAACACATAATGCTTGGGCGGATTGGGTGGTGGTGTCCGCTTGGGGAGCAGAACACACCGACTTGGCTACGCCCAAAACAAGTTCACTTTAATTGGCAATAAGCGGCCTCTGCACTTGGACTCTGAAGCACTTTACCTTTCAGTAACTCAGCGGGGAGAAATCACGTAACTATGACAAGTTGGTAGCCACTTTTAATCAGCGTAAATAAAAATTGAAAATTGCCGCTAATGGCAGCTGGTGGGCACTAACAGAAGCCGAGAGCCGTGTCCTAACACTTTAGCCAAAGTTTGCACAGCCGCTTGGAAATTCTTTAGCGGCCAAGTTGGGCTAACTGTAAACGCATGCCAGGCCGGGTTTTCTTGGTTCTCAGTTCTCACATGCTTCTCAATTGGCAGTCAGAGCCACAAGTCCACCCCCAGGTTCTTTTCCAGATGCAGTTGCTCTCCAAGTTGCAGTTGCAAATTGCACGCAATGCTCACGGGGCCAAGATCCGCTGATGTGGCGTGTTTCTGCGGAGTCTTTGGGTCTAAGAGCGCGGCTTAATGATGCCGCACAGTGCGCACAGGCTATAAAGAGCGCCCGGCATTTCAATTCCGAGGCAGCCTATATACACGCTCAAATGAGCCAGACGATCTTCTTCACGTCGATTTGGGAAATACCCTAACTAACTGGAATACTGTTAGGATAGCTTAAGATCATTAAATAATATCTTTGTCTTGAAGAATCGAATCATTACTTGAAGATCTAGTGCGGTGCCCTAATATAAGTTTAATTATATTATATTATTTCTAACAAGCTTTTTAGATAAGGTTCTTACCGAAATTTAAATTTCCAAATATAATAAAAAAATTGATATTAAAAACTATTTATTTCATGAAAAAGTCTTGCAATATATGGTTTTATATTAGTAAACACTTGCACCTTTACTATTGATAAATAGATACATATTTCGATCGTACACCTCCCCTTTCTTTGGCATGACAACTATACAGTCGACCCATATTCCTCGAACCCATTTTGCGGATCACCCCAAACGCTTTAGCCCCCTTTTAACCTCAAAAAGTTTAATTTAAATTTTAAAACCTTGGCTGATTTCAAATGCATTTCGGTTTTCGGAACAGCCTAGCTCACTCACTCTCTCTGTCGATTTTGTAGGGCAAGACGCATTAAAATATGAGCACAATCCTAGGTCGAGCGTGTGTAACCCGAGCTTTTCTTTCATATCCGTATTATGCGCAGGCATGCATATTTATACTCGAACAGGGTACTGGGTACTGGGTACCTTTCGCAGCCGAAGATTCCGTTTCCGAGAAGTGCAGCCCGCCAAACTGTGTCCATAAAAACAAATTTAATTGCAAGCTGTCACACACACGATGGAGGGAGTTGTGGATTGGCATCGTAGGAGGGGTTTTTTCTTCTTTTTTTTTTTGGAGCCAGATAGTCAGGGAGTCAGGGGAGCCAGAGTCGAGGTCAGACCTCTGGCCCAGACAAATGATGTAAGCCACGGATAAGCCAAGTGGCCATGTTGACACTGACGCAGTGGTGAAAACTGAGCGCGGAGCCAGCCAACATCTAATATTTGCCGTCCATCTGGCTGACATTCCGAATTGGACAGGCAGCTAATGAATACCTTACACATGTCTGCAAACAAACGCAAATAATGTCAATGGTCTGGCACATCCAACTCGTCATGAGTCAGGTCAAAAGAAGAGAAATACTGGACTGAATGGGATGGATTGGGATGAGTCGACTCGAGTTGCGATGAGATGCTGATGCTGCTGCTGATAATGATGATGATGATGAGGCGGCTACAGCAGATGTGCCAGTTTTCAGCGCAACTGCTGCCACTGCCACTGCCAATGTTTGTCAAAGACTCTTCTACACGATTTGGCCGCGTTTTTACCAATTGGCATTGAAGCAATTAACATCAGCATGCAGCTGGATTTCGAGCCGAGACTCTGGCCAAAACTGGAACGGGAATCGCATTGCCATCGCTTAGAAGTCTAAGTGGCCGCCAGATGACGACGAGTGTTCCCCTCCGTCGATTTAGATTTCACAGATTTCTGATATTTCCAGGAATCGTGTGGCAGTTGGAACCTTTTGCGGAGAACGGCAACAACCATTGCGGACAAAATAAAAGTTCACATCATAAATTTTAAAGTGTCACGAATCTGTCGGGAAAAAAATCATTCATATGCCTGCAGTTATCGTTCCCTCTCTTTCCATCCTCCCCCATTCCGCCCTCTCACTCTCTCCTTCTCCTCAAAGGGAAGCCGCACACAGTCCCTCGAAAGACGTGCCCGCAAAAGCCAGCCCCACAAAACATTGGCAGCCAACCTGAGTGGAATTCTAATTTACACTAAACAGCAGGGCAAATGGTCCGTTAAGCGGAGTTTATTGGGATTTTCGAGACCTTTTTCCCATGACCTTTGGGATGGACCCCTTAACGGGAAGCTCGTTAATACACTTTTAACGCGCAGAGTGGCTGGAATATAATTTCTGAGTTTTATAAATGGTCTTTCTCCCACAGGTTTTATATTTTCTTAATTGGGAATTTTCTCCCGTGATATTTCTTTAAAAATATGAAATATATAGCATTTATATTGGCTTTCAAAATTATTATCACATTATCTTTATCTTATCCCCTAAATCTGATCTTATGTTCTTTGAAAGCCCCATTTGCACTTGACCTGCTGTACAAACACTCACCGAGCTTACTGAATTGCCCCGTCTTAAATGTTTACTTTACCAAATCCCCATTCAGTAGGAGATCTAGGGCAGATAGCCAACCCTGCTGGACAGTGTTTATCGACTTTTAGCCCAGACTTTTGTTCCATTTTCTGAGGCAAAGTTCTCGGCTCACAATGCAAGTGCTGTTCGATGTTGCCGTTGTTTTTTCAGCTCTGTTCTATTCTGTTGCTGCTGCATGTTTCCTTTTAGCCAAAGTGGCAAATTGACTGACGTGCATTCGGGCCAAAACGAAACGAAACGAATCTCTCGGGGGAGTGGAAGTGGGGGCCCCGACTTAAAGGCTTAAATGCAGCTCCGCATCGTTCCCAGCGCCATTTGGCTGACTGGCTGGCGCATTTGCATATCGGCTCGTAAATATGGATGGGCCGACGGGTCTGCCGGGTCTGCGAGTCTATGAACTTATTGTCAGACAAATTGAAATGCCTGATTCGGCTGCAGATGCTGATTCTGGGGATTCACGGGGGAAACGGGTAGTAGTACTCGTACTCGTACTGGTTCTGGTTCTGCGATTGCCTACAGCTGCTCGTTGAGCCCATTCCCATGCGTTACTTTGACACTAAACCGATGAGGCTGATTCTAATTCTGATTCAGATATGGAAATTGAGATATGCACACGGGCAAAAAGATCTGTAGTCTTTAATAAAATAAATTATAATCTGTTCTTCAATTTTATATATCAGAAAATGAAAAAACTTTTCAGTTCTAAACCTATTGGGTTAATGTTACAATTTTCTTGGTAATGTTATAGAAATGAATACTGTATTTCTAAAAAGAACTCTTGATGTGCCAGCATTATGACTCATTTTGGTATGCAAAAACACCCATTTGTTGACCGATTTCTGTGATTTTTGTTCTCAGTGCCGCTCTGTAGATCCCCCACTTACCTTCGCTCGGGAATTGTGCTGTAGTAGAGGAGCAGCGTGGCCAGCTCGTAGCAATTGAGGCCGGCGGACGCCACACAGGCCGCGTCCACGCTCACAAGTGGGTCGCCTTGGAGGGTGCGTGTGCCTGGAAAAGGAGTTGTGAAAATAGTTAAGCGATGGGCTATAAAAGATCTCTAGATGTGGGAAATCGCACTGCAAAGCTGTCTCAATTGGTGCGCCCTGGGTGGCCACTTCGCCTTCGATAATGTGCGAAAAAGCGTGTGCACATTAATTGAAAAGCGCCAACTTTATGTGCATTTCCCCCAGCCGCTTTTCGCCGAACACCAGGAAAATGGCCAGCGGCAAATTGCCCGGCGGGGCGTTACAAAAACGATTCCAATTTATAAGCAAATTTGGTTTTTCGGCTCAGTGAAAGTCTAGAATTAGATAGGATCGGGCTGGGGGCGCGGCGAAAATGGAAAGTTTGTCACCTAGGTCCGCCGCATGCGGATGGAAGGATGGATGCTCACCTGGTAAATAGACACCGCTGGTCAGCAGTTTCTCAGGCAGCTCGCCAATCGAGCTGGGCGGCAGTAGCTCTGTCTCGCAGGTCTCTGCATAGGAAAAAATTACGTTATGTTAACTATTTGATAACAAAATATTTAAACTATTTTTTTGAGGGATTTTATGTATTTTTATGAAGCAAAAAATAGTTATAATTTCCTAAGAATCACTTTAAAATATGTTTATAAAATATCTCAATTTTTCTTTATATCCTTATAGATTTTTATATGACCAACACATTTTTCTCAGTGCTCAAATGATAAAACGAAAAGACTTGCGAAAACTCACACGAAAGTAAAGGGGGTCCACAAATATGGGTTAATTGTATTTTAAACGCTCGACGGAACCTTGAAAACTGGTCCAGGATCTGCGCCGTTTGCATAATAATGTCATTTGATTAATTTCGAGCTGCCGAACAGCCCACACCAGCTCTCTATCTCATAGGAAAGGGGCGTGGCAGCCGCCGCCTTGGCTTCGTTGCACCAAAAACTAGTTCGTCATAAATTGTGAGCCTGCCCCGGGGACTTTCGCATGCGACAAATATTTCCCAATGATAAATGCGACACATTTCAGCGTCTCGGGAAATTCTGCACTCGTCGCTGTGAACTCCGGCCACCTGTTGCCGCTTTTCCAATGGCAGAGAGCCAGAAACGAATGCGACCCGCTGCATTGTAATTCAATAGCCCGACCACAATAGCCCCCGCACTTGCCAACTGATTTATGCCCGCTTGCAAATTGCACCCACACCCAGCCCAGATAGCAGTTGAACGCATTCCAGGGAACAGTGGCCAGATGTGGAGAAAAAGTGAGTAAAAAGAAGCTACTTTACTATTTTGAAGAATATTTTGGATAGTCTTAGTTGACGATGAGTTGAGTTTAGGTACAGGCACAAAAAAAATGAACCAGAATGACTCAAAATGTCATCAAATATTTGAAAAATAAAAATAAATTAAAAAACTTCATTTAAAAAATTTCTAAAATATAGAAAATTTAAAAAACATTTAATTGATTTAAATATTTATAAAAGAATTATATATATTTCGTAATGATATAGTAAAACAAGAAAGGAAGCTACCTTCGGCCAGCCGAAGCTTATATACCCTTGTAGATAAAAGAATACTCACTCGGTGCAGTTCCAGGGATTCCAGATTCAGCGTTTCGATTTATTTCAATTTTGTTTTTAAGTAGTCAAAAATCAAAACGCCTACTTCCTACAAAGTTACAATGAATTTTCTTATATTTGTTTGGGAGCCTTAAGATATAGTGGTCCGATCCGGCTCGCTACGACATATGTACTACCTGCAATAGAAAGAAGACCTTCGGGAAAGTTTCATCGCGATAGCTTTAAAACTGAGAGACTAGTTCGCATAGAAACGGACAGACGGACAGACGGACAGACGGACAGACGGACATGGCTAGATAGACTCGGCTATTGGTGCTGATCAAGAATATATATACTTTATGTGGTCGGAAACGTCTCCTTCACTGCGTTGCAAACATCTGACTGAAATTATAATACCCTCTACAAGGGTATAAAAATAATATTTTTCTGAATTACCGAAATATAATAAATCTATATATATACCAAATCATATTGTTTTACCTCTGTTCTGATGCCTATTTCGAACCACTGTATCCGTACACTGGCACTGCTTTGGTTTCTCATTTAATTTTCATATTTTAGGCTTTGACAAATTAAAAGGCATTTGCACCGTTGTGGCTGCCACAGAGACAACGATATTTTGCGGCTAACCACGTCTCACCGGATGCCGTGGGTTGTCGATGTTAATGGCTAATGGCTAAAACCACTGCTGCCGGCGGACCTCCTCCTCTCGATGGAGCATTTTGAAGGGGCATTCAAAAGCCGCCAATAAAGAACGGCTTTTAAGATTTTTCCACAAAATAAATGGGTACAGATAGAAGTGGCAATTTTCGGGCATTGCCAACTTAATTGAGTATGGTTTTGGCATTTAATGGATTGTGTTGTCATGGCATTAAGCATTCGGTAAACTGCTAATTAATCAAGTGGCATAATGAAATGACATCTCCCGAAAAGCATTTCGAAGACAAATCCAAACCGGATGAAATGCCTTAGATCCAGACCGAATATCATCCAGATAGCGAAAAATTTCACTCTCTCATACTTTCGCTAGAATTCGGGGCAACAAAACTGCGTTTATCTTCGGGCAATCTTTGGCGATTAATTGAATTAAATGTCGGCCAGCATTTATGAACACCAAATATATCAAATTAGCGCCAAAACTGAGCGCTATCAAAGCGTTCCATTAAACCCCACCCCCTGAAACAAAATCGACTTCAAAGCGCCGTTCGAAATGAACGCAAATTTGACTCCAGTTTGGGTTTAACCGACTTTTGGCTGCGGGGCGTTTAATTGAATAGTTCGGGCTCACAGATTTGCATACGATGCAGGCCACGGAGCTCTAAAACAAATAAGACAAATCACGCCCAGAAATTGCGATAAGCAAGCCACGAACTGGTCGCTCTGTTGCAACTGTTGCAGGTGCACTCAGAAAAATGTTTATATATTTTATGGAGCAAATATTTTTTGTAGCTAGACCAAATGAAAAATCAAATGATTTTTATAAGATTTTCCTAGTATTCATTTCTCAAACTGTAATACAAATCCTTGAGTTGATTTCAACCCATTATTTCAAATGTTTTCTGTGTATTAATAGGCGAAACGAAATACCGACCGATATCAGAGCACTTTGTGCCTCCTGGGGCTATCGGTGCGCATGCGTAATGCGATATTACGTATACGCTGCGTGGCTTACCCAGACTGTGGTGTTTCCCCGGTCCGATGCTATCGCTGGGCTCCTCATCGCTGTCGATGTGCGGAAATGAGTTGCCGAGACAAAAGAGGGGCAGTGCCGGCGAGGTGGAGGCGCCACTGGCCTCGTTACCACCGATGCTCCTCTTTTTGGCCTCCGAGCTGCTGGTCAGGAGCTCCTCGCCGGCACTCGAACTGGAGCTGCAACTGGAGCTGCTGCTCCTGTCGCTCACATTGCTGTTGCCCGACGAGGTGGAGTTCATGCTGTCCTGCCGATTGGTTAGGCGCCTCAGCATGTAGCGGCTGTTGAACAGTTTGTTTTTGGTAATCAAATCGCTGCGCCGCAACGCGCACTTGGGTGATCCCAAACCCACCAGGCTGTTGCTATTGCAGCCATTATTGTTGGCCTCGTCGAGGGCATCCTCCCCGGGGCCAGGATGCATCGGCATCTGCAGCTCGTTCAGCGAAACGCGCTCGATGCTGCGCTCCACGCTGACCAGCAGATTCTGCAGCAGTTGCGGCAGCTCGCCGCAATCCGATGCCATCAGTGCCGCCGCTGCCGTGGACATTTCCAGCTGGAGCACGCTCAGGGGCAACTGGCCGGGATTCTCGTGGTCGATGCAGTGGCTCTGGACGCTCTCCTCCTTGCGGGACGAGCGCCAAACAGCATAGAGCCGCGGTGTGCAGTCCGCGTCGCCTTCTGCTGAAGATTCTGTCGAAGGAAAGGGAAAATTTATTAGGATAACTTAATGAATGGTAAACATGGTAAAATGCTTAAATATCTCTCTCTTAACTTTTACTTTTTTTCATTTTGATCAAATTTCAATGGAGCTTTTAAATTACAAAAGGTAAATTGTCTTGCATTTAAATTTTACTGTGGAGGTCAGCCCATAAAAAAGTTATTAGTCATAAAAATATCAGGTTTCTGGTGCCCACTAAAATTTTATTCGTATTCAAAAATTGTAGTATATCTACCTGCCTTTTGGATATATTATTAAGGTCTAGGTAAACTCAGTGATTTTCAAAAATAGGTTTTTTAAAAATTAATAAACTTTTAAAACAAAAAGAGGCAAATTGTAAATTCAAAACTAAACTCTTACTTAATTAAATCATTAGCTTCGAATGTACGAAAGTGCCTACATGGTTTATTAGATTTAACTAAGTCTTGATAATCTGACCAACATAAATACCTAGAAAACCCTGCATCCCAATTATTCCCTGCTTCCATTCTAGACCCATTCGAATTGATCAAGCCCTAGACGGCCGTAAGTGATCGATTATTTTGATTGGGGGGTTGTGGCTATGCTCGTGTGTTCCTGCCCCCTTAATCATAGTCATAAGAAGGGCCAGGCCAGACCAGACCCCTCCGATCCCGGTCGACCCACTTACCCAATTTGATGCAGAGATACAGCTCCGCCGGGCGAAGTGCGTGCGCGATCTCAGCGTCGCTCAGCTGCAAGACCAGCGCTCCATTGGATGTTGCCAGGGGCCAGCCGGGATGCCATAACCAGGACTGCAAGACGATAAGCGGTACGGGTATAAGTATAAGCATAAGTATAAGTGCTCGATTGCAGATTGAGTAACGAAATCATTTGCAAATTTTTATTATTACCGCGATTACATGTTCGGCCCGAAATTGTGCAGGCCACAACACCCGCAAGTGTTAAGCTGCGGAAAGGAAACCGAAACCCAAACCGAAACAGAAACAGAAAACGATAAAGAAACCAAAGCCAAAACTATGAGCAAAAACAGAAAACCGAGGCTGACTGCCTGGAAAGCGCATTAAATATGGCCCAGACTGTCCAGACCGTCAGACGTCAGAGCTGGGATATTTGGATATTTGGAGGCCTGAATGTTCGAGGTCTCCCCCATGTTTGTCCGCCAGTTGGCCATATCGGAGATGGCGAGTGTGGCAACTTTTTGGACGCCCCAGTACCCAAAGTGCACAGGAAAAAGAGCAAGGATATTTAATTTACCCTATTAAACATTGTCTTAGGCGATATGAATTTAACTTACATAAATAGTAGTATTTAAAACATTTAAATATAATGACTAGCATTTTGTCTTTCGTATAAAACAAATGTATTATCTCAGAAAAGATCAACCAGATAAATTTAAAAAAATTTAATTCTTTATAAAAATAAATTATAAGATGTAATTAAATATTAAAATACTCTCATAATATTCTAATTTTTTTCACAATGTTAACATGTATATTAATGTTTAAATATTACGAACCTAATTATATTTTACGAGACATTCTTTCAATTATCTTTTTACTAAGGCAGGTACAACATAGGTTCTTTAGTTGACAGTAATTTAAGAAATATTTTTTCGTGTGTATTCCCAAAAAGAGCAGAAAAAAAAACGGAAAACAGGCACCGCCTGGCGATGGCGATGGAAAATTATAGATAAATCATGCAAGTCAAACTTTTGGCAATTTTTGCTAATTTTTGGTTATTACCCTCAGCGTTTGTGCCAAACTGAAAAGGCTGAAAAGCAGAAAGCCCAACGCAGATTTCACCCCTACGGGAATGTGAAATCGAATTTGAGTCCCGCGACTGCGAAAAACGTAAAGCCAAAGAGAGAGCTCCCAGAGATCCGAGTTGAAGCCCGATCCTTTGGTCAGCTATTAATTGTTGCAATGCGAAAATGTTTCCTCACATTGTTGCTAATTTGCCAGTTGCTCAGATTTTTTGAGCATTTGATTTCGGCTTTGTTTTCGTTTCGCTTTTTGGGAAAATCAGACAGGGGAAAAAAGGTGCGCACTGGCTTGATTTATAGCGCCTTTTGACTCAACACAAAAACTTGGATATTTTATTGGTAACAAAGCGATCTCTGTTGTTGTTTTTATTGCACATGCCACCCAGCCAGGAGGGAAAGAGAGAGAAATAGAGGGGAAAAAAGAGAGATACGCGAACATAAATCAATTGTTGTCGCTCTGGAGGAGGCATTCGAGGGGGGTTACGGGTTTTTCGGGGGTTTCAAGGGGCTTCAAGGGGCTTCAGGGGGTTCCAGGGGTCGCCGATCGAAATCCATTCAAACAGAAAATGATCAATTTTGTCATTTGATCAAAGCCGCAGCAACGATCGCAACGCATCGTTTACAATCGATTGAACAAAATGATCATCGCCGATCAACCGAACCACACAACGACAACAACGCAACCACTTCCTCCGCTCTAAAGCCATCTCTTTACCCCTTTTGCCGTCTCACTTTGTCTGATATTTCGGACCTGCACTAAAACAAAAAGGTTTAAAAACGTTATATTTTTGAGATCTTTTGACCTTATTTGTAATTATTTCCAGTAATATTTGTAAAGTTAGTCATAATATTCAGTTGGTTTTGTTTGCCTATAAATATAATTGATCGATTTTTAAGTAGCATGTTAAAAGTTTAAACACTTTAAGATATTTAAAGGCAATGCCAACATCATAAACATTTGTTGTTAAAAGCTCATAAAAGATGAAAAGTATATTTATTTCTAAAAATGTTTGAAATGTTTATAACTTTGAAGAAGTATGAATTTCGATCTTTACTAAAAGTATTAAAAATATAGTCTAATAAAATATCAGAAATTGCAATATTTTGTGAAGTATTAAAAATATAGTCCAATAAAATATCAGAAATTGCAATATTGTAAGCAAATTTAAAGGGATATTTGTATATTGGTTTTATTCTTTGCCTATTTGTTTTCGGTGTGATTCAGGGAGGTATCGTTGAATAAGCCCCTGTCGCCACATGCTAAAATAATGATTTTCGTAACATTTTCTGCATGATTGCCCGCGACCCCAGCTCCATGCCAAGTTCCATGTTCCATCGGCGGTGCCGGTGCCTTCTCCATCTCCATTTGTGATCCGATCTGTTCCGATCCGATCCATTCCAAGACAATCCAAGCCGAAGGGGGTTCTAAATCATTGGAAGCGTTTCAGTTTCGTCGTCATTGACCCAAATGCGCGCGTCGCTCGGACGCCGCTTGTCATTGTCATCGATGTTGTTATATTGTAGTTTTAGTTGTCGCTGGGTTTTGATGGTGTCGCCTACACTGAACACTGTACATTGAACATGGAACCAACCCTCTCTTCGCAGCGGCACTGTCATATAATGTTCGATTTTATGTCCACAGACAAGTTGAACTATTGAAATTGTTATGCAAAGAAAACATTTGAAGGACAGCTAGTGGTCAAGTAATGTAGGTTTATCGCAATACGAAATTCTCTAAACCCCAGAACATGTTCCACAAGAAAAGGTATTAATTTTAAAATTTAAATAAAAATTTCTTCAAGAACTCCAACTTTTAATAAATAAAACCTGAAGGCTAGGAAACGATTAGGCTAGAACCTCTAAAAATATTCCACAAATTTAGCGGCTTCTAAATAACATTTTTTTTCCTTCCCAGAATTGTAGACACAAAAAACGAATCCAAAGGGTATTTCACCACAAGAAATCAAAAGTATCTTTTTTGTTCTTGCGCTTGGGTTGTTTTCAATTTGTTGCTGGGCGACAAATTTCCGTTCCATTGCACTATGGGGAATTTGACCACTTTTTTTGGCCAATATTAATAACTCCCTCAATTTTAAAGATATCAAAGTAAAACTTTAGCAATCGTTATTATTAATCACAACGCATATTCTGCATGAATATCTTTCGGATCAGACAACTATATCATATAGCTGCCATAGGAATGATCAGATTAACTTTGCTATTTTTAGAGATAAATGCATAAAACTTGATAAGTACCGTTTTAATACAATATTAAAACCACATAAAAATTTTTGTTAAAATCGGAAGAATATTTCTTTTAGTTTCATAGAACCGAAAATTCTCTGAGTTTACATGCAATTTCTTTCATTTTTTGATACAGTTATAGCTTTATTTTTCTTTTTACAACCTCTTAAGTACGTTTTTATTGTCAAATGGTAGCGATAATTGTTTTTGCATTACTTTAGAAGACATTTCAAATGTATGTCTATTGATATCTTTCTTCCACAGTGCAAACAAAGGGGCATTTGCAAAATTTGAGGTTATGATCTAAAAAACTAAATTTCTCCAAGAATCGAAAAAAGTGGATTTTCTGACTACATTTATTTTAAAGAGAATTCCATAATCTTTAATTCCCAAAGGTTTGATGGATGGACTCCGCTGGACTCGCTTTGTATCTCTATTTAAAAATTGGTTTTCTTTAAAAATATTCATGTTAGACCGGTCACAAAAACAATCGATTACAAGAAAACCACGATTAATTTAGATTGTTTAATCACACAAATACTTAGTGCACACTACCATCCCTTGAATTAATTCAAAAAACTCCACTTAAATTGCTTTAAGACTCTTATTTTTAGCAATTAAATAGTCTCAGCATTGCGTCAAATTTCTGAGGCGTGAAAATGCAACATACAGCAGCTGATCTAACAGCTGTAAGTTAGCAGAGGCGGCCTCTATTGAAATTCCTGAAACGTAACATTGAAGATTGGTCTTCTGTTAAAGTATTCTAGAAAACACAATTTTAGTTTAACGACTTTAAAAAAATGGGTTTTGGCCAAAAAAAGTGGTCAAATTCCCCATAGTGCATTGGCGGCTTTCGGCTTTTGCCATAAATCTGCGGGCAGATTTTGTCGAGGATTTGTCGAGGATCCTGGGCCGGATCAGGGCATATATCATTCCATCATTGTTTGTGTGCTTTGTTTCGCATTTTTTGCCCATTCCCACGCCTTTGATGTTGAAAACTAAATTACCGACCGGCAGCCGCAAGACGAAGCGAAATGAAACAGAAACCCATCAACAGGCGGCGAAGTCGGCGGATCGACGGAGCGTATATGGGCGGTTCTTTTACAAACCGAACACCTTTTATTGGCTCACATTTTTGATTTGCCTGAAACTTTTTTTACACGTACTATTCGGAAAATAAGTAAACACGTGTATCAGGATTTGACCGAAAAAAAATTATTTTCCTAGTTAGAATTTTTTTAAGTGTGCCAAAAATTGTCAAATTTGAAAAAGAACCCTCTCATTGAAAATCTGTATCTCCGGTTATATGAATCCAATTGACTTCATGTCTTTTGCATTAATTCCTCTAAAACCTCTCCTTTCAAAATAAAATTTCTTAAAAAAATTTTTTTTTTAATTTCTTAATAATAAAAACAAATTAAGATTTAAAAAAATTTTTTAACTATTGCCCCCACAAAAAAAAATTTTTTTTTTATTTTAATACTTGCGCCATATTGTTAGTTACAATCGGTTTTTGTAAAAAGTTGGAGCCACTTTTAGTTTTTAAAATATCGAATTTGTTTTTGCAAGGCCTCGGCTTTTTTCTATGAAAAAACGTCGCAGCAAGTAGATCTACTCTCTCACTCTTATCGGATCCTAATGGAATTTATGTTTTCTCATTGTTTATTAGTCCTTTAACAATTGTTAATGATTAAAAGTTAAGTTTTAAGTTTTTTGACAATTTCTGAATGACAAAAAATAAAAAGTCATTTTTTAATCAATTAAAAACTTACAACTGTTTATTTA